TAATAAATTAACAGGTAGAATTCTAAAATATATTACATAGAGAAAGAAGGAGAATTAAATGAAGCAATGTCTCACATATTCAGTATTTTGAGGAAACTCATACAAGGGAATTTTCTAGGATAAATATATTTTTTGAAGTAATCAAATTTAAAGAATTGTAACTGTTGGCTTTTCTTTGCTTCTTAAACATTATAAATTAAATCATGTCAGAAGTATACCATATTCTGACATAAAATAGTTCCGTCTCTACCGAAGGTCAGTCTCCTGACAGTGTGACTATTTAATATAGATAGAGATTTGTGATCGCTGCTTCCAATTTGCCGTGAATGAGAAATTTCCAGTACTATTGGAATTCAGCGTAGAGAGTCACCATGCTCTGAATGATGGTCTGAAGGCAGGGATGCTGGAGCATAAGGTAGAATTTTGCTATAACATTGGATGTATTAAAATGTGTATCTTTTGGTTTATATTTATTACATAAGCAATTCTAGCAACCAAATTTCTTATCTTCCCTTCTGTTAACTCAGAGATGTCCCCTGACTACTCTTTTGTTCTTGGTAGTTTTCTGAGCTGTTTAATCTTTCAGACATCCAGCTTGTGTCTGAACATATGTGTGTGTGTGTGTGACGCATGCACATGTCACAGGGTGAGTTGTTGTGTGTGCATATGTGTGTGTGTAGATGGTTGAAAGGCACCAATGACAGCCTGTCTGGGTGCAAGCAGGCCAAGCCCCATTCCTCAAGATGGAGGAGGAGCTGTTGCCCCCTGCAGGGACTCCCCAGCAGGCCACGGGGGGAAGCCCCACGACCCAGACAGCAGGTGGAGAGCAGCAGCCGGCCAGAGACGAACTACAGCGAGAAACTGTGCGGAGCTCCAGCCGCTGAACTTCCTGCAGCAGGAGAGCCTGGGCACCCCGCCCCTGATGATCTCACTGCACACAGCCTAGGGCCCCACCCGCTGAGGAATCCGGAACCTTATCCTACCAGCTCGCCTAGCGACCAGGCCAAGAGCATGGTCTCTGAGGAGCCCGCGCAGGAAGGCAAGGTGACGCCCACAGAGAAGGATGCCGAGCCTGTAGAAGCAGAGACTTCAGGGGGACCCGCGCTCGGCCCCGCCGGCGGTCCCAGTGCCCAGCACCGCAGGAGCTGGAGACGGCGCTGAGCACCACCAGGTGACGCCCCGTGGGCTCCTGCAGGCAGGTGGCAGGGTGGCTGTGCCGGGATCGTGGAGCGGCTCCTGGCCACACGCAGGCAGCCCCGGGGCCATCAGGCACCGCGGTGCCTGCCGCCCTCGCTCAGCCCTGAGCACATCTGACCTGGCCGAGCCAGCTGCCCCCATTGAACCCGCGCCCAGCGCTGCGGCTCTCCGCAGGGACCCCTGCTGACCCCGCGGGCTCTGGCTCCGGGTTCCTGTCCCAGCCTGCGCCACCTCTAGCGCCCCTGACTCCCCAGCGGCTCCTCCCCACTCCTAGCCTTGGCTGCCCCCAGCGCGGAACCGACCCCTTCCCCTGCCTCCAGCGTCGCGGGTCGCGCCTCTTTGCAGCCTCTTTGGCGTCTGCGCCTCAGAGCTGGGGCCAGGGCCCCTCTTGAGCTCGCCGCCAAGCTTGCCAAGCCCGCCAAGCCCTCTTCTGCCTCAGCCCTCCTGGCAGCGTCTTCCTCGCCTGCTGGTCGGCATCGCGCCACAGCCAATGTCTCCTGTAGCTGTCTCCTTGGCGAAGCGCTGCAAGGGCCAGCGCCGAACCTATCTCTGCGGAAGACCCGGGCACAGAAACTGCCCTGGTGCTGGGCAAGCGCTTCCTCCCCAAGTCCCCGGCCTAGGCAACTTGGAGGAGCCCAGGGAATAGCGCTCAGGACCCGGAAGCTGGACAGCCCGCCAGCCCGCCCCTGGCCACTAGGCGCCCTGGGCCTGACCACAGCCCCCACCACCTCCGCCGGTTGGCAAGGAAGGTCCCCTTTCAGCTCGCAGTTCCTCAGCGGAGAGGAGGACCCTCCACAGACCCGCACCCTGTCTCCAGTGCGGCGCCCACCACTATCACAGATGGAGCTCAAGGTTACTGCCAGGCCATCAGGCCGGGCAGGGCCCGCTGCTGTGGGGGGAGTCCAGGACACCGCTGGACTTAAGAGAGGAGTGGGACCGGGCTTCGTGCCGGTGCTGTCCCCTGCCCCGTCGCGCCGCCGGTGCTCTGCAGATCCAGAGGGCACCCACACTGGGGAGAAGCCATTCAGTGGGCCATCTGTGTCAGGCCTGCATCACTAAGGGCAACCTCCAGGTACACTTGGTACATGTGGAATAACGACCCCTACATCCTCCCCCAAGGCGAGCTGCCTCGGTGGAACAATCCAAGGCTCTGCTAGGGGGTGATGGCCTGAAGTTCTCTGAAACATTCCCGAAGGATCTGGCAGCCCAAAGAATGAATGGCGACCCCAATATTTGGAACCAGGATGCTGCTGGCTCGGAGGAGCTTGCAGTAAAGAAGAATGAGATTTTCATCATTCAGGACACAGGCTTTTCCCACATCCCAGGAAGTTTTGGCTGCTGCACCGCCCCTCTGGGTACCCTGGGACGCAAAAACGCTCAAAATTGTCCTCCCATTGTCAGCCTGGACAAATCACCTGAGCAGCCTGCACAGCAGGCAACCTCCATTTGCCAGGTCACCCAGGAGAACAAGGAGATGGTCTAAACTAGCTGAACACATGGGACTCAGGTCCTTCCACAGTGAATCTGACTGTTCCTGAGAACTCTGCAACCTTTTAAGTTAAAAAAAAAAAAAAAGTGATTGGAAAATGGCCTCAGGAACACAAAGAGCCCAGGCAATCCTCACTCTTCCCTAGAGGGTCTCAGTGTGTTGGCCAGCCTGGACTCGAACTCCTGGCCTTAAGTGATCCACCACTTTGGCCTTTCAATTGCTGGGATTACAGGCAAGAACCACCCACACCTGGCCTTTGGAGGGACTCTTGCTTTGTGTGTTCGGGCTGGTCTTCCAGTGTAATCAGTAAGATGTTCCTGCAGTTTAGTTTGGGATCTTTCTGCACAAATTCAGTGGATCCTGTGATTTTTTTCATGTAATAAATTGTATTACAAACAAATTTGCAATGAATAAGCTAGACAATTAATTCAGTTAGTAACCTAAGGCCTGGAAAATTTCATTACTTTATCCACACATGTTTATAAGGAGATGATTGAAGAAGTAGTCAAAATATGCAGATTCCTAATCATCCCCAAGAAGAAGGGAGCCACTGAAAGGCAACGTGGGAGGGTGTGTGGGGTTGTTCTGAGGTTGTGAAAGCCACTGAAATTCACACACGAGGGGATAGAAAAAGGCAATCCACATATTTTGAGTACCTACATGTGCCGGGTATAACTTGGTCTTTGTTAAGATGATCCACCACCTTTGGAGTCGCACAGAACTGGGTTGAATGCCGGTTCCATCGCTCATTACTATACGATAGTGAATGTGTTTTTAACTTCTCTGAGCCTCAGTTTTCTCATCTACAAAAGATGGGATTGTTATGAGGCTTACATATGTTACATGTGTATAAATTTAGACACAATGCCTGTAATTTTGTAAGTGTCCAATATATGGAGGGAGGAGTATTCTATTTCCCTCATTTAATTTTTTGAGCAAGTTTATAAAATTTGTGTTATTCATATTTTTTAGATTAACCAAGGATGAGAAAGATTACATAAATTGCCATAGTCACAAAGCAGTCGCTAGTACATTTACTTAGTAATTGCTAATTAAAAGGAGCAATGACCAGGCGCGGTGGCTCACGCCTTTAATCCCAGCACTTTGAGAGGCCAAAGCGGGTGGATCACCTGACGTCAGGAGTTCGAGAGCAGCCTGACAAACATGGAGAAATCCTGTCTGTACTAAAAATACAAAATTAGTCGGGCATGGTGGCGCATGCCTGTAACCCCAGCTACTCAGGAGGCTGAGACAGGGGAATCATTTGAACCCAGGAGGTGGAGGTTGTGGTGAGCCGAGATGGTGCCACTGCACTCCAACTTGGGCAACAAGAGTGAGACTCTGTCAAAAAAAAAAAAAAAAAAAAAAAAAAAAAACAAAAAAAAAACACAGTAGCAATGATAATGAATTTTAAAATATTGTATTACGTGGTGGTTTTCTTTTCTTTTCTTTTTTTGTTTGAGATGGTATCTCACTGTTGCCCAGGCTGGAGTGCAGTGGTGCAATCTGGGCTCACTGCAACCTCCGCCTCCTGGGTTCAAGAGATTCTCCTGCCTCAGCTCCCGAGTAGCTGGAACTACAGGCATGTGCCACCACATCCAGCTAATTTTTTGTATTTTTAGTAGGGACAGAGTTCACCGTGTTAGTCAGGATGGTCTCGATATCCTGACCTCATGATCTGGCCTCCTTGGCTTCCCAAAGTGCTGGGATTACAGGCATGAGCCACCGCATCTGGCCTGGTTCTCTTTTATATAAGCATCTTCATTTGCTGAAACCATAGATTCTAAGTTGCTCTATCAAAGTGATAATTAGAAAAATGTGATGTACTTAGTGCATAAATTTTAGGAAATTTCCCCTATTACTCTTGTTTGATTGAATATGTGTGTTATTTTCCAAAAGTGTAAATTGAATATATATGTGTTGAATCTATATATATATTGAAAATATAAGTGGACATCACAGAGTAGACTAAGCTCATGGCAATGCTTTTTCTGAAAGCACCTGGGTCTCTCTAGTTTCTAAAAACCTCACAGGCCACAGGGGAAAGGGCGTTCTTTGGATGCCAGATAAGGCATGAAGCAGATTTGGTTACAGTAATTTTAGCGTAATTCATTGTAAAGTGATGATCTCTAGGAACTCCCTCACAGTGGAGCAACCTGAAAGCTCTCAGCAGCCAGCAATGAATGAAAGGTGGGGGCGGGGCTGCCAGCAGGGCGGGGCCTGGTGAGCCAGGGACCTAGGCTCCCACATCACAATGGGGGCGCGGGCGCGTGGAGGGGACTCTGGGTCTGATTGGTTCCTGGGAACCAGGAGGGAGCTCTGGCGGTTGGCAGGGCAACCTTGTTCAGTTGGTGGGAAGCAGTGGAAGTAGAAGGAGCTCCCTGTGTGCTCTCTTCTCCGCAATCACAGCTATCAGGCTTCTTGCATCTAGACCCATTCTAAATAAACCAAGCAGGTTCCCAAGGGACCCTTGCAGGCAAGTCGGCTCAGGGGAGGCGGCAGAGGCGGGGTGCGGGCTGCTAGTGGGGTGCAGCCCCATAGCCAGGGGCTGGCCCTGCCAGCGTGCCGTTGTTGAGAAGCGGTGGAAGTGCTGAGCTCTGCAGACTTGGAAGCAAGGGAAGGCCCAAGCTGCTGGAGAGGAGCGGGGCTACCCCATGGGGAACACGCTGAGCTGTTGCTTGGGCACCAACCCCAGCCCCAGGCAGGGTCTATCGAGGGGGTCTGCGGAGCTGTACTGTGGCTCTGACATCTATGAGGCGGTGGCAAGCAGAGGTGCAGGCCAGGGCAGAGAGGAGCAGAGGCACAGCAGATGGAACATGCTGTTCCCCAATGCCAGCCCCAAGCGGGGCCAGCACAGGGGGTCTGGGGAGTTGTCCTGCAGCGCTGAAATCTATGAGGCATCGTCAAGCAGAGGTGCAGGCCAAGGCAGAGAGGAGCGGAGGCGCCACAGATGGAACATGCTGCTCCCCAATGCCAGTCCCAAGCAAAGCCAGCCCGGGGTGCAGTGGACGGAACCGCCCTGCAGCTGTAACATCACGGAGGCGGAGGTGGCAGTGGCACCACACCCCCCTGCTGTGGAGCCTGCCCAGTCTGATTTCGGAGCCCAAGAGGGCCATGACCTGCAGCACGTCGGCGACCAGGAGATGCCCAAAGGTAAGGAGGCGACTGATACTGTTTGCCCTCAGGCGCGCCTCTGGCTGCCGCTGACCCAGGGTCCCCACTAGAGGCATCCACAGCCTTGGGCTCCTGCCTTCTGCCTCTAGCCAGCTTTCCTAGGCCCAGAGACCAGGCTGGCCTTGCTTCTTGCCTGCCCACCCTCTCCCTCATTCTTTTTCCCTGCAGCATCTAGCGGTTTCTCTCCTCCTCCCTGCCCCAGTGCCCAGTTCTGGCCCCTTTCTCATCCCCCCAGGCTGGCGGAAAACTAAGTTTTCAAAATAGAAAATGTATGCTACAGATTTCATTTCTGTAGAGGAAGTGTCTCACAGCTCTTCTCTTTAAACTTTGGTACTTGTGAATGTTGTTCCTTGTTTGGTGGTGTAAGGTAAGCCACTCAGTGGTTTTATACACTAGGTGATAGATGGGTAGTGTTGGATGAGAGTCCAAAACAGACTATATCATTCCTTAGGATTTACAGCACATTTCCATGTATGTCTCATTTCACCCTGTCTCTACGAAAAAAAACATGGTCAAAAATTAGCCAGATGTGGTAACTTGCACCAATAGTCTCAGCTGCAAGAGGATCTCTTGAGCCCAGGAGTGTGAGGCTTCAGTAAGCTATGCTGGCTCCATCGCACCATTGCACCACGCCAGCCCGGGCAACAGAGTGAGACCCTGTCTCTTTAAAAAAGTATTTTTTGCCCAAAATAGCTCTTTGTTTTAACATATTTGACATATCAAGCCGGTGTCTGACAGTAATTGACCACAGCATCACTTGCTGCTTGAGACTTTCCCTGAAATGTGCTGGTAATAGCAGCATAGAGGAGGGTGGGTATATTTGATAAGAAGAAGGAGGAGGGCATGTGTATAATTCATCTACAAGTTGCATCAGTTTATTTAGGTGCAAATTTTAAAAAAGAAGCCCCAGACACAGCCCGGTTTTATTCCACATATGTGGAGAACTTCTGTGATTTTTTGCATTCTCCAGTAGAACTGTGACATTGTGGCATTTATTTTCTTCACATTTATTACTAAAACTTTTCTCAAGATTGTTAAAAGTGATTAAAATGGATGTGTAGCTTTAAAAATTATCTTTTCTACTCACTTAAATTATTACATTTTTCCTTCTTCCTCTACAGATTTTGCTTCTGACCATCCAAGGGAAAGCACACTCTTCCTGAGAAAATATCAAATGAGTGGTAAGACAATATTGCTTCTTCCTCCAAGCAAAAAACTACAAACTTTCTGTTTTGTGTATTACAGAAAGTATTTAGAGGAACTCAGATAGTAGTTAAAATGTTTTAATATTTAATATATTTACTCATCTTATTTTAATAGGTGACATAATTTCCTTTACTTGTCACTGTTCATGGAAACTTGCAGACTTTGTGTTTATACCTTTGGCAACATTTTTATCAATGCAATTAATGGGCCACATGATTTAGTGTAGTAGTTATGGATATATGCCTTTTTCTTCATAGGTCTTTGCCCTTTTTCCCTTGTTCCAAAGAGTACATTTTGATGATGAGTGATAGGATTTAGGGCACAGCTTGGATTTCACTTGAACAAATCAAAAGAATTTGTTGTTCTAGATTGAATCTGTGCTGTTGGCCTCCTTTTTGCACAATGCTCCAAGCACATGAGCCTATCACATCCATGTTCATGCTACTCAGAACTTTTTCACTCGAATGTAATGGAAATGTAAACATGGCCTGTGCTGTTTTCCAGGTTAGCCTTAGTGTGTGAAAGTAGTGTAAAGTTTCCACATCCTGCTTGTTTTAGGAAGAGAATTAGAACTGTAGGATTTTTCTGTACTCCTCCTTATATTTGTAACATTCTGCTAAATCTTACTTTATTTTCAAAAATGGCATACACCATGTTTTTCAGTTAATTTCAACAGTAGGAATAGAAGAAGTGGGGGTTCTATAATAACATCTGAAGGAATGTCGCACAATACAAAATGGGTTTCTCCCCTGCATTTTTATAGTTTGTGTGGACTTTGCCTGTCTTGAGCTGGTAACTTCCGGTTAGGATTGTTGTATTTCTCAGTTTCTTCCAGAGCCATGGGCTTCTCACACATGGAGTGTATGGAAGTGGAAGAAAACCTACCCCATGTCCCCGTCTCTTCAGCAGTGAGAAATGTGTGTCCGTGAGACCAGTTTAACTTCAAAGGCGGAGGCGTTGTAGGGAACAAAGCGTGGCCCAATTCCCCCTTGTAGCTTTTATTCTTCTGACCTGTGTTAGAACAAAATGGTTTTGTGCGCTGAGGATGCCGTGTTCAATTAGGTTGGCACACTCATTTTAACATTTGAGTTTAAGATAGGCTACTTTTCAGTTGTGTAAAGACCCATTTATTTTTTCAGTAACATATTAATAGATGAGCGATAAGTCATTTGGGATGCTTGCAGGGATTCTAGTGCATCTGGAGATTGGCTCCTGGCCAGAAACTGGTTCTTAGAGCTGTCAGCTATTAGATCCTGGTAAGGAAAGTAAACTATGTGTAAATGTAGAATCAGAAAACACTACTACTTAGGGGTTCAGATGTACAATAGGTACATTTTTTATTAGCTGAATTTCTCATCTGTCCTGTATTTTGGCATTTCTATGAAGGAATACTTGAGACTGGATAATTTATAAAGAAAAGAGGCTTTATTGGCTCACAGTCCTACAGGCTGTACAGAAAGTGTGGTGCTAGCATCTGCTTCTGGCAAGGGCCTCAAGAAGCTAATAATCACTGTGGAAGGTGAAGAAGTCATTTTTCACACAGTGAGAGAAGAAGCAAGAGAGAGTGAGAGGTGCTGCATGCTTTTAAATAAGCAGATCAGGCCTGGTGCAGTGGCTCACGCCTGTAACCCCAGTATTTGGGAGGCTGAGGCAGGCAGATCAATTGAGGCTGGAGTCTGAGACCAGCCTGGGCCAACGTAGTGAGACCCTGTCTCTACAGAAAATTTTAAAATTAGCCAGGTGTGGTGGTGCATGCCTGCAGCCCCTCCTATTCTTGAGGCTAAGGTGAGAAGATTACTTGAGCCCAGGAAGTCAAGGTAGCAGTGAACCATAATCATGCCACTGTACCCCAGCCTGGGCATCAGAGTGAGACGCTGTCTCAGAACAACAACAACAACAACAAAAACCCAAGAAGATTATGCATGAACTCAGAGCAGGAACTCACTCATCACCAAGGGGATGGCGCTAAGCCATTCATGAAGGATCTGCCCCCATGATCCAAACACTTCCCCACCTCCAACACTGGAGACTACATTTCAACATGAGATTTGCAGGGCACATATGTTCCCTAATTGGTTTTGCCTTTCCTTGTGTACATGGGGATTCTTTCAGTTTTATGTAATAGAATATCTGTTAGGTCAAAAATAAAACTATGTTTTTAGATTTTACTTTATGAGATTAATCATGCCAGATTATTTATACATTTTGTTGGTAAGAATTTTTTAAAGTGGAATTTTGTCGCATTTTTCTATAGTGATAATCAGATGATTAGCAACTACGTTTTTTCTATAGTATTTACACCAGAATTGATTTATTTTTTCATTCTTAGTGGAAGAAAAGAGGACCTCTCGCCTATATCATGTAAGTAAGCTTTTGAAAAGTTAAGAAATCAATTGTTTGAATTAAAAGTCTGTCAAGATTCCTTAAAAATTTAACAGGGAGCCAGTGCTGTTAGCATGATCCTTTTTTGGTGGATTTTCTAAATCTCTTCTATTTTCCTATGCATCAGATTTATACAGGAAAGTCTTTGGTTTATTGTGCCCATTTTTAAGGGTGTCTGACATTTAAGTTACATAATTTGGTTGTGATATAAAGATCTGCCTTAAATATTTAATCTTTTGGCTGGATGCGGTGGCTCACGCCTATAATCTCAGCACTTTGTCAGGCCAAGGCTGGTGGATCACGAGGTCAGGAGTTCAAGACCAGTCTGGCCAAGATGGTGAAACCCTGCCTCTACTAAAAATATAAAAATTAGCCAGGTGTGGTGGTGCTCGCCTGTAATCCCAGCTACTTAGGAGGCTGAGGCAAAAGGATTGCTTGATCCCAGGATATGGAGGTTTCAGTGAGCTGAGATCATGCCACTGCACTCCAGCCTGGGTGACAGAGTGAAACTCCGTCTCAAAAAAAAAAAAAAAGAAAATTAATCTTTTTAAATCAAATCAAATAAAAAATAACTAAGTCCATTTTCTTTTCTTCAACACTTTCTGCTGACTTCTTGTCATAGCAGGTGAAAGCGTAACTTCCTCACTCCACTGTAACCTTATTTACCTCCCTGTTTCTTTCTTCCACCTCTAACACATTTTTTATTAAATAATTAATTGGTATTTACATGATTATGACTAAGCACATATTATTCACTGCTGAGTCATAGAGTATTCTGACTGTGCCTCATCTTTGTACATGCTTCATTCTTTCTCTTAAATTCAAGCACTTCTGCACTTCCCCCAGATAACCCCCTTTTTCCTAGCCCGTGATAGCTCATAAAGCCAAATGCGACCATTAGACCCCAACTGGCCTCCTTGTTTTCACATCCTTCATTATTTTGTGTGTGGAATTAATTTTCCGACTATGTTCCTTTGCCTTCTTTTTTTTTTTTAACAGTTCTTCTTTCCCCAAGTGTTGTGACATTTGTTACATGCCTATCAAAAAATAATATTTTACCTACTAAAGCATATGTTCCATGTTTTTTCTTGAAGTGACTTTCCTTGGCCTCTGGTTATCCTCCTCCAGGATAGTCTATGTTTCCCTAGGCTGTCCTGGGCCTGCTTGCCCAGAAGCCCTCTTCAAACTCTTCTGCGACTCATGTTGGATCCCTGAGTCCTAGACTGTGCCTTGCCCTCTGTCTTGTGTTACTTCCCAGTGATGCTGGAGCACAGTTTCCGAGGAAAGGCTCATGGACACACATATATAGAATTCTAGCCTCTCTCAAAACCCCTCCTTTGTTATAGAGTATAAAATTCTAGAGTGAAAACTAAATTTCATGGCTCAGAAGACAATTTTCTATTGTGTTTTCATTATACTGTTCTTGAAACTGTTACCATTGTGTGGTACATCATACGTAACCAATTTTTACATTTCTCAAGCTTTTTTGGACCTTCTCTATCCCTGGCATTCTGAAATTGTATAATAAAGCCTGGAGGGGACATTTTATTGTGGCCACTAAGTGTGCAGACTATCTCTTTTAGAGAATTTTCCTACTTTCTCTGTTTTATTATTATTATTATTTTAGTATTCTTATGATTCAGATGTTGGGCCTCCTAGTCCAGCATTTCTGTATTGATCTTTAATTTCTTCCCCTCTTATTTTCCAATTTGTCTTTTGTTCTGCTTCTTAGAGATTCTTTGACTTTCTCCACTAACTGTTCTATTGATTTTTTTTAACTCCTTAAGGACATTTTAAGATTTTTAAAAATAATTTTGCTCCTGAATTTTTGCTGGTCCCAGGAATTCATTTCTCCTATTGTTTTGATCTGTCATTGGGGGTTTCCCTCAAATGCGTGGTGGTCTTTGGCTTTCTCTAATTGGAAGCAGGACCTTTGTTCCCCGAGGGGTCTCACTGTGGGGATTTGGAAGTCGAGCCAGCTTTTCATTTGGGGGACATCAGTGTATTATGTGAGGGTATGATGTTTCAGTTTTCTTCCAAAAACGGTCTCCCAATTTTCTGCCTTGGCAGTGCAAGCCTGGCTGCTGGCTTTCCAGAATCAGGTTTGGGAAGGAAGGTGCAGTTTAACTTTGTGTGCAATTTGTTCCTATTTCCCAGGTTTTAGTCCTGGGAATAAAAGCTCTGAGCTCAGATACCCTCAGGTATAATATATCCAGATAATACACATCCAAATTCCTTTTGAGAGGAGAGGTGGACTTGGGGCTCTAAGCACAGATTTACAGTTGACCTTGCTGGCTCCTGTTGTATGTTTCACCCTACCTTCCCAGGTACCATGTGCCTCTGAGTTGGGAGCCTGGGTTGTGTTCTTTAAAACAAACAATATTGCTTGTTTCTGTTCAAGTCACTCCCTGTCAGCTCCAAAGTTGTGCTTCCATGTCAGTTGCCACTCCTCTGTCTGCTTTTCACCTTGCAGCATTGACTCAGAATCATCTGCCGTCAATCCTGTCTCCTGGTCCTGTGTATAATGTTTATTTTATGACTAATGCTAATGAGATTTCAGAAAGAAGCGAAAATAAATTTCTGGTCAATACATCATATTTAATCCAAATTTAGAACCTATATGTAAGTGTAAATCTAAGTTTAAATTTGACATAATTATTACATTAATTCAGACAATTTCTATTTTTACCTACAATAAGCATATTACACTTTTCCACTCAGGCCTTATGTAAGAATTCTATCCAAACTCCATACATGCCATGTGGTCCCATTGCTGTGCAACATAAATGGAGCTGTTCTGTTAGTGCACAAAGTGTTAGAAATTTTTAAGTTAGTTAAAAGTCATTAATTATTTAAAAACTATCTGAAATATGTCTTGTAAAAAAGTGGGGAGAAAAAAGTGATCCTGAGAGTCACCATGTCGGTGGCTCATACCTGTAATCCCAGCACTTTGGGGGATCACTTGAGGCCAGGAGTTTGAGAGCAGCCTGGCCAATATGGTGAAACCCCATCTGTACTAAAAATACTAAAATTAGCCTGGCATGGTGGCACATGCCTATAATCCCAGCTACATGGGAGGCCGAGGGAGGAGAATTGCTTGAACATGTGAGGCAGAGGTTGCAGTGAGCTGAGATCAGGCCACTGCACTCCAGCCTGGGAAACAGAGCAAGACTTCCTCTCAAAAAAATCCACAATCCAAGATGCATTCATTATAAGAAATGTTAAATAGAAGAAAATGAGGACAGATATCACCTAAAGCTATACCAATTAGTCTGTGTTTTGATGTATTATTTTCCTGTTCTTTTTATTCTCATAAATGGATTTTTTCTCAGAATCGAGTTTTGTTATCATGTAATATTATGCTGTATTACCCCTAATAGTAGTGACCTTAAGGGATACCTTCTTTCACTTTGAATAGAAGTATCTGAATGAGTCAATTTTCATTTTTCATGCTATATTTGTTTTTTGAGACAGTCAAAGTATATTCATTGACCCACATACACTGTTAATGTAAAGTATACACATTAATAGAGTAGCTTAAGAGACATAAGAGTTTAGCTAGAGTTAAAACATTTCTACCTTGAAGAAGAATTTGGTCCTTCAAATAGTAATATTGTTCAAAAACATCTGGAATTTTTGTTAAGAAATAAGTGAATTTACAGTAAAAAGCATCTGAAACAAGCAAAATGGTGTTAGACTGTATGGATATTTCTGATTACTGGCTACAGGCAGTTTTCAAATGCTGTGTACTTTTATAAACAACCACTAGATCTTCTCCCTACCCTGTCTTTCACGTACCTGGGGGAGACCCTGACGGAAGAGGGTGATAACATGATGCAGACAAGCATATCCCAAGAAGGCTCATCTGAGTTTTTTTTTTTTTTAAGTTAAAATAATAGGTATTTTGTGGTTTTAAATAATGCTGTTGATCTTTTCAACTATTTGGTGCCAGGGATTTGGTTACTGGCATTATTATTAAGAAAGAGTTTTATTTTTTAATTTTTTTACTTTTTAGACGGAGTCTTGCTCTGTTGCCCAGGCTGGAGTGCAGTGGCATGATCTAGGCTCACTGCTACCCTGCCTCCCGGGTTCAAGCAATTCTCTGCCTCAACCTCCTGCGTAGCTGGGATTGCAGGCACGCCAACCACCATGCCTGGCTAATTTTTGTATCTTTAGTAGAGACGGGGTTTCACCATCTTGGCCAGGCTAGTTTTGAACTCCTGACCTCGTGGTCCACATGCCTCAGTCTCCCAAAGTCCTGGGATTACAGGAGTGAGCCATCGTGCCTGGCCAAAAAATGCATTTTCCTAACATAGATGAGGCAGTTTCCATATTGACTATTGCACTCTTGACAAATGAATAGATACTTTTAAAGTGTTTTAGAGATAGTTTATTTTCTAGAAGGCTCAAAAGATTCATTGTCATCTCTCTGATAGCACTGCAGATAAATTTTCATTGATTTGTAACTGTAGGAAGATTTACCTTCCAAATTGTAACTGATTTAAATAATTTGCCAAGCACTTATTGAACGCCTTAATTTCTCCCACATTCTGTGCTCAGCAGCTGCAGGTAGGAGAGGAAGGGCTCTCCCTCCCCTGGAGAGGCTTACTTTCTCACCAGGAGGATGCTCTGCAGACAATTGCTATCAAGTAACACACGGTGCATTAGACCAACGAGTACACAAAATGGGAAATATTTTGTGGTGTGGCTGCTGGCAGAGGGATCCCAGAAGGCAGAGGAGGTGAAACCTGCTGGGACAAGGGGGAAAGAAATTGGCATTCTGGGCAGAGAGCAGCATGAGTGAGGCAGGACAGTGCCATGATGTGTGTCAAATAACTTACAGACTAAAATCAATCAACTTTTGAAATGAATGCAAAGTATTCTCGGAAGTTCTCATTTGAGTAATATAACAGCAGTCTTATGTAAACATGAAGTGAAAGTTAAATTCCCAAAGCTGTTTCCATCATCTGATTTTTAGGTGTGAGAGCATCTTAAAGCAGTACTTTTTCTATCTTCCGCCAAGGAAACAGGCCCAGAGAAATCTATGGCCACTGACTTGTTTGGTCACTAGCCGCCCTGGGACACAGAGTCTCTGACTCTAAAACGCTGGTTCCATCACACTGTCTCTTGAATGAGTGACTTAGGATTAGTAATTTAGTGAATGTAGTGTGAGGTCTTTATTTACTGCAATAAAAATGCCCCGTGCCAGTATTATTTAATGTACAACATTTCATTGTAGTTAATGAATAAAAGAAATAGAAAATAACTGCTTTTAACTGCATAATAAAAAAAAAGCAGGAAATCTTATTTTAAACTTTTCCCATTATTTGTAAGGGGAATTCATAATAGAGGCTTTCCAGGTTTGATGATTGGTATCATAGCAAGGGCAGAATTTCATAACCCAGTCCTCAAACATCATCTGCAGAAGTTACGCACCTCCAGTGAGTTTCCCATAGAGCTGCTCATGATACCACACTCAGGCAGGTCACGGGGTATAAGAAATACCTTAATGCTTTATTGTTTGACGTTTTTACTAAGGTAGAAAGCCCACACTGTTGTAAGTTCAGCCTGCTGCAAACATTTTCCTCTATCTTCCTTCTCCTTCAGATACCTCCATGGCATCTTGATAGAAAATACAGCTCATGTTCCACCATATTGCTAGATAACAGCACAGTCAGCAAACCTGATCTTAGACACACACTGGAAAGGTGAGTACAATGAGGTTTTCGAGGGCTGAGTGACAAACCCTCATATGCTAAAAGCATCCCGGCCATCCTCTATCATTTCAGCCATTTGGTTGCCCTTTTCAGCAAGCAGTTTAAGAAACTGATTTCAATGATATATGGATTTCCAGGACCTAAATATGAATTTTCTGTTTCTCTTTTAATCTTAGAAACTGTGATTAGAATAATCTTAGAAATAATAAATAATAATCTTCTAAATAATAATAATAATCTTCTAAATAATAATCTTAGAAACTATGGTAGAAGAGAAAGCCAGTTACCAAATAAACAACCCCAGAAAAACCATAGCTATTCATTTGATGCATTTATGTTATGACAGTGTTGAACGCAATGGGAAGGAGAGGTGCCTTTTATTGGATGTTTCTGGGAAAAATTATTAGTTCTTTATGGGCTACAGGCCTAAGACCATGGGTGCTACTTTGGAAACTACTCTTGGAAGACGGAACAGCTTGTCCTCCAGTGGTGCACAGTGTATCTGCATTTAACTGTTCCCATCATGCATGAGCACTTCATAGGCCACAATCAGACATGTCTTTTCAAAGCACCCTCGAAGGATGGGTTCGAGTTTATTTAAAAAGCCACAACAAAGCCCAGTTCCATTGGATGTGTCCAGGGAAAATTATTAATGTCTCCTTAGATTATGAGTGTTGATTTTCGGGAAAACAGTTTGAGAGGTACTCCCTCAGAATATTAATGTCCTTATCCCTAGTAACTTTCCAGTCTATAACCATGACTAGTGTACAAGCTTAATTTTGTTTCCATTTTACTTGCTTTTTACGCTAATTTGTCAGGAACTTCTACTTTAATTATAAATGGTAAATTTACGCTCATAATAATATCACTTCCCTCTCTCATATATAACAACTATTGAGATCAAATTGTGTTTCAGCAGGAACTGGACTCCACCAATGTTTAAAGCCCTGAGCTTTGGCCTCTATGGAGTCATCACTTAATGTTTGTATTCAGCCTTAAGTAAAAACCCACTCTGTTTTGGCTAGAGTCCCTGGTTTCTTCTGATTTCAAAAGATTCTGATGTTTCAGTATGCCATTCAAAAGGAGTTTTAAGCTTCACCTTGCTCAAACAAGTAGAGGTTCTGCTTTTTCTTCCAGCACACCCTAATTCCTGCAAGTGTTTTTAAAATAGAATTTTCTTTTCTTTTTTAGAGACAGGGTTTTACTGTGTTGACCAGGCTGGTTTCAAACTCCTGGGCTCAAGCAATCCACCTAACTCAGCCTCCCAAAGTGCTATGGTTACAGGCATGAGCTACCACACCTGGCCTAGAAGTCTATTTTTGAAGTACAGTTAGTTTTAATTTGCTCTCAAATTTTAGAAGGGATCATTTGGTATATTTACTTTTGATGAAATAATGGTTTACTGAGCAAATTAATATAGTAAATTGGCTTTTTGGAAAGATTTTGAAAAATGTTTTTCATGGTTACTAGTCCATTGTTCTCAAAGCGATGATTGGGCCATATTAGAATCATGTATACCTGTTTCTTCAAAATATATGTCTGCAAACACATGCGTCTTCCCAGTTCCACATTCCCTCCATCTCTGGGCACTCCCAAGCCTTTTAGAAAAATGCTTAAGTATGTGAGGCATCATTATATGAATAAAAGCATCCCAGATGATTCTGACCTTAACCCTAACTCAGTCATTCCCAAACTTTGTTGCACATTGGAATCACCTGGGGAACTTTACCAACAACCCTGATGCCCGAATCATGTCCAAGGCCAACTAAATCACAATGTCTCCAGCTGGTGGTGAGGCTGTTTTTAAAGCTCCTTGGGTGATCCAGTGTGCAGCAAACATGGGGGCCACTACTTCCTTTGCATGGAGGAGTGATGGTTCTAACATATAAATTACACGTTTTCCCTGTCATTTGCTCTTCTTTCTACCCATAGAGCCTTTCTTCTGTGTGAGTCATTTCTATGTATGTGTGCATATGCTTAAATTGAAACCATACCATAGGATTTTGTGAACACCTGCAGTTCACAAAAGCGCTATGTGGGGGACCTTGGGCAAATTAGTTTGAAGTCTTGGTTCTCTTATTTGCAAAATGGGTGGTTCATGGAGTGTCATGTAAGGTTCAGTGGTCTTTTCAGCATGTAACTTCCAATTCTGTGATTTTAAAATCAATTTGGAGATGAAACTGTTTGAGGCACTATAGAAATATCCATCTTAGATGCTAATAATGTTGTAAGGCCTACTTTTTACAACTCAAATTTGCCTTCTCAAATTATTCTGAGCCTCATTTTAAATGCTGAGGGCAAATGGAAGCACAGAACTTATCCAGGAGAAGCCCCTGTTTGCTGACACACAACATTGAGGATGACTTAGGACCACAGTAACATACATCTGAAGAGTTGTATTTGTTCACTAATATTTTGTTTAAACTAATGTGGAAATATTTGTCATGAATATTGTACGATGCAGTGTTACACTGTGTGTTTAGTGCCACTTATTTCAGGATAGTTACAAGTGTCATTGATTTTTGTGTGCATTATGTTTACTAATAAATTTCCTGCTAATAATTATGTATAGGTGATTTTAAATTACTTTAATTGGTATAAAGCACACTGATGATGTGCTTTTAGGGAAATAATGACAAATGGGTGAGTAGGTGGTGGTGAACTAAATCAGTTGAAATGTAGGGCCTAGCCACTTAAAAAGCAAAACATTACTGTATGGCCTAAATATAAGCATATGTACACATGGATGTAAGTGACTTGCACAAGATTACAGGTTCTATGGGTAGAAGAGCAAATGACAGGGAAAATATGTAATTATGTATACACACTAACCATCAGCAGAAACGTCTTCTAACAGCACATTGCCTAGCAGTTTGGTTATCCTATTTTCGCTATAAATCCAGGGAGCTAAAACAAAAGAAACGGGCTCATATAGTACTGCTTTGAATGAGAGGATTTCAGGGCCACTGAGAAGATTCCTTCCTCCACGTTTTAAAAACATATCTTCAGGCCAAACAAGTGATAAAGTCAGTAGTTAAAAATATTTTTTTTTCCCTCCACAGTGTGACTTTGGCAATATATTACAACATAAAGCACAGGTGAGCTCTTTGAAAACCTGCCTTGTTATTCCAGCTCATCACTTTGTATAATATGACACACACTGTTAGGTGTTAACTGTAGACATAAGCTGTAGAGTGCATATTTCACAGTGTGAAAGTGAGTCATCTGTGGGCTGGTCTGTAAGACGCTGTTCACTCTGAAATTTTCGAGGGTCCCACAGTGTATTTGCTTATGTCCTGTTTGCAATTTATTGTAAAGAAGCAATAAAAAGATGACCTAGCCTCATGCAAATATATAGTACAAAAAAGGTGTATTTTTAAAGCTTTCAGGTAATTGTGGGTATTTTTAACCACACCAAAGCTCCACAAGTGCTGATTTATTAAAATAGTTATAATGGGGTTGTACATATCAATGAATTCATTCCACTAATACTCACTGATCTTTCTTGTACACTGAATGGATCTTTCCCCTTACTGGCTTTTATATTATCCATTGGCTATTTGGAAAATATTAATTCATGTTTATGTATAGTGTAAAAACTCACTTTCATTAGCATCACCACGATTATAAAAACGTCTTCACAGATTGAGATGCTGCCAAGCTCACAGTAGTAGGTATTGAGTCTTCCAAGTCCTGATTTTTAGCTTGAAAGCATTAGATTTATTATGGACAACAAATACTTGTTATTTTCCTTGAAATGACAGACTCACTTGGCTTCTTTTTGAGAATGACAGTCAGTCATACTTTCAATAGAAATTGTGCTCTGTGAAAAATTGGCTTGTTCAGCTCGCAGTTAAATCACAAGTGCTTTTCTTTAACATAACCATACTTCAGTATGCAGAAGTGCTTTATGTGAACGTTCTACTTAGAGTACTAAAAAGAGAGGTCAAGATTTAATAGCTCCATTAATTTTTACTGTTTCATCAAGGACATTCTTAAGCGAAGCTGGCTACTTTAATAAAAACTGCAAGGGGCGGTGAAGAGCGGAATGAATACTAGTATAATTCAGTACCACGACCCTTATTCATACTGAGAAACCAGCAGTTTTACCCACTTTTACTTTTACGCAATTATTACAAGTGTTGAACAGTGAGAAAGCAAGCGATGTCTTACTATTTTCAGAAAGTAATAAATTATTTTTATATTTTATTTTCAAGCAGCTTCTCAGGTTTAATTAGTATTCTTATAAGAACATTTTGGGCCACAGGTGGTGGTTGGCACCTGTAACACCAGCACTTTGAGAGGCCAAGGTGGGAGAATTACTTGGGACCAGGAGTTTGAGACTAGCCTGGGTAATGTGACAAGACCCCATCTATATCAAAAAAGAATGAAAAATTAGCTGAGCATGGTGGTGTGCACATTTCCTTCCAGCTACTTGGGAGGCTGAGGCAGGAGGATCGCTTGAGCCCAGGGAGTCAAGCCTGCAGTGAGCCATATTTGTACCACTGTGCTCCATCCTGGGTGAAAGAGCAAAACCCTGTCTCAAAAAAAAAAAAAAAGTTTTGACATCATGGGCCTCCTAGGGAATCTCAGGGTCCACAAACCACATTTGGAGAACCACTGGTTTCCTAAGTGAGCACACAATGTGTTAGATTTTTAAAGTTCATTAAAGACTGGCCTCTTTTAAAATAAAAAGGCAATTAAGTTTGTAACTCAAACTACTTAAACAAATATGATAAAAGTATAATAAAGAAATAGTTGGGAAATCTGAATCTCATTCACATTTAATAAAAGCTCTAAAAACTTTATTGCCAACCACTACTGCTTTATAAAATGTTCTTGTGTTCCAGCATGAGGGTAGAGGGGTGAAAACAGATGTAGTTTATTACCATCGCCTGTTAGCGGCGGTGAATATTTAAAGGCAAATCTGGATCATCAATGTAGAAAAGATTTCACAGTTCAGGACATTATGTGCTGAAGAAAAAGAGGTCAAGAAACCCTCTGAAGGCCAGGATCCGGGAGAAAAATTTGCAAAAACTATTTTGGTGAACAAATTTCACCAAAGCAAACAAGATGTATCTCCCTCCACCCTCCATGCCCTACTCCCAGCAGATACTTTACTAAGATGTTGACAGTTCCCAAATTAATTTCTTAAATGCACATTCTTATTTTATAGATACGCAAATAGATCTCTGGCTATTTTTGATGAGCCAATACATCCACTTTCAGTAAGTGACACTTTCTTTGAGATTCTATTTTTGTCTCATAGAGTTGTGTTTAGTTCATGCTGAAGTCAAAATCACCCACCTTTAAGTCTCGCCTCTGTTGTGTCTAATCATCTTATATAAGGAGTGTTGTCAAGTGGACATGCTGGAGTAAGAGCTGACTTGCAGCTTTGTTTAATTAGTGTGCTAAGGGGAGTAAATATACCATCCAGATAACAAAATGTGTCATTTTAAAAGATAATTTTCTATAGCAGCAAACCATATAAATATTTGTAAATAGTCCTGACAAATGTGCACAATCTCTGTGAATAGAATTAGAAAACAATTTAAATTTAAATCAGTTTAAATGCTATAAAAATTTTAAAACTTCCTTCTTCAGACATATGATAGCCACAGGACCACCTTAGCATCTCTGTTTACAGGAAACCAAAAATATTTTAAGATCCCACTCTTTATATTTTTGAAAACTAAAAGACATTTTATCCCATCAAAATTATTTTAAGGGACATGTTGGCACAAATGGGAGCAATGCCATCTTAAGAGCACTTAAAAAGTTTTCTTGAGTGGATATTTATATTGTCTTTTTCTTCTTTCAGCAAGGAAATTCTTCAGGGAAATCCTTCGAGGATGATCCCAAATGCAACTGTATTTTCAGATATTTCTGTACTCTTTTTCAAGTCACAAAACTAACAGCTCCATGTGCAATCGTAGCTTTGGTAAGATATTTCTTATCTATAAAGCATCTTTAACAACTGGTCTCGCCGGGCGCGGTGGCTCAAGCCTGTAATCCCAGCACTCTGGGAGGCCGAGACGGGCGGATCACGAGGTCAGGAGATCAAGACCATCCTGGCTAATACGGTGAAACCCCGTCTCTACTAAAAAAATACAAAAAAAAAAAAAAAAAAACTAGCCGGGCGAGGTGGCGGGCGCCTGTAGTCCCAGCTACTTGGGAGGCTGAGGCAGGAGAATGGCGTAAACCCGGGAGGCGGAGCTTGCAGTGAGCTGAGATCCGGCCACTGCACTCCAACCCAGGTGACAGAGCGAGACTCCATCTCAAAAAAAAAAAAAAAAACAACTGGTTTCCTACTCAGGGTATGGCCATGTTTCTAACCAAAAGTAGATTCCTGAAATTATCATCAGATCTTTTGAGAGAAACCTGTACAAGCAAAGTAAATACACATATTTGAATTTAATCATCATTGTGGTTTAAAATGATGCCATTTTTTTTCTTATCACAGAATAATTGCTATTAAAGGCAGCAGGAGAGATTTCTGGTTTCTCCTTCAACAGATTCCAATATAGCAAAACAATAAAGCAGGATAAAGAGAGAGGGATGGGAGGGGCTCACTAATTGAGAATGATGAGGAAGAGCCTCTCTAGAGAGGTCACATTTGAACAGTGACATGACTATAAAGCGAGGATGATAAGGAGTTCTGGCATGACAGGCAGTGGAACGAGAGCGAAGACTGAGATAGGAACATGTTTCATGTGTGTTCAAGGAACAAACAGCAGGGGGCCCGTGAGGTGGGAGGAATGAAGGAAAGAATGGAAGAGGTGAGGCCGCACAGGCAGTGCCATGGCTCACAGAGCCCTTTGGCTTGCAGGCCATGGGAAGAAGTTCAGGTTTTATTCCAGTTTGATGAGGGGACTCATGGTAGATCTTAAGCAGTGGAGTGCAGTGTTCTTAATTTAAGAGGTTATGGCGATGGCTTGGGGAGAGTAGACCATAGTTAGGAGGAAGGTTGGGGCAGAGAAGAGGACCAAGAAGCAACTAGAATGATACAGGTGAGCTGTGACCCATGGCGGCTCAGAATCTGAAGCAGGCAGCCTACCAGTGAAGGTGGGCACAGAGTGTTTGCACACAGATTGGAGCAGGGTAACTCACATGTAAGTATTAGTCCCCAGGAGCTAGGCCAATAACAATTCCTTGGATAAGATGAGGGCCAACTTGGGGAGTGGAGCCTTGGGGTGAAGGGCTCTGGTTTGTAGGTGTCAAGACTCTGAGGACCTTGGCAAGAGGAGTCTCAGGAGAGTGATGGGGGTGGGTGAGGTGGGTTAAGGAGAGATGGGAGGTGAGGAGCTGGCAACAGGGCCTGATGCTGTGAGCAAATGAGAGGATGCCTCTGGGGAGCTGCGGGGAGCAGGATGGGAACAGGAAACACATTTGTATTGGGGGAAATCTCTGGCAGAGAGGGAGAAAGTCTTCAAGAAGAGGTGATTTGGGGAACAGTGTTCTGCAATAATGGGATGGGATCCACCATGCTGATAGAAGAGCTGGTGTTAAAAAAGGAACTTCCTCACTGACCCAGGAGGACAAGTGGTATCGGTATCAGCAGGTCCAGCTTACCAGTAAAGGTGACAGGAAGTTGAGGGCTCGCCAATGCTGTTTAAGTGCTCTCTAGTGAGTGCTGTGGAGTTGAACCCTGGGAGGGAGGGTCATTCCCAGGATACTCGATAGTGCAGAGTTAGGAGGAAAGGGAGCAGAATCTCTCATAAGAACGTATCATGTTCAAGATCCATTTGATTTTGAAAACACAGGTGAGTTTGGAGAACATTGCCAGATCTGAGCCGTCAATCTGATAACCTTCAGACAAGAAATGAACTCTCTTAAAATGAACTGTTTTCCTTTGGTCTTGATACAAAGACGTCAAGTAGCATGGAGACATACTGTTCTGCAGAGCACCCTCTGGGATAGGAACGCCTCCCAGCTCACCTCTGTCACCTTCACTCAGCTCGTCCCTCACCCAGTTCTTTATAGGATAGAGATTGGATAGATAGAAAATACTTCCTGAGATTGTCTCACAAACTGCTTGGCAGGTTTAGAGGAACTCCAGGGATACAGAGGCCAACAACTGTCTCTGCCTTCAAGCTAACCAAATTGACTGAATGCAGATACTGTGGGACAAGCAATGAGTTTTCATGAAGTGATTATGGAGACATGGAAAATAGGGGCTGTGAGCAGGACCCTCCTTTCATACACATGCGTTCCTTATGAAGCACTGGATACCAGATTATTTCTCAGCCACAGAGACCTGCACTTTTCATGCTGTCTGCACTGCAGGCATTGGGAAGCGCTCTTGACCACCGTTGCTCAGTGGGTGTCCCAAGAGTGGGTTAGTTATTGTGAAAAGGAGAAGACAGCAGTGTCCTCAGTATCACTTGGGTGTTACATATTCAAGCATGGCACACCTGTAAAATTCCTATCTACCTGCCGACCAGGTGTGACATAGCACACGGACGGCGCTGGAGCGTTTCCTGAACAACCTTAATCTGCACTGGGCCTGAGTTTGTGCTGCCTTTCATGAGTGTGAAGGTGCTGATGGTGCCTCTCTTCATGCCCAAGAATGTGCAGTCATCCCTGTCACCAAAATTGGGCTGAAAATGTCTATGGGCAGAGTAGGCTGCAGAGGTATCTGACTATGACTGTGATTTGGCCTCTTGCTTTGTCTGAGCAAAGTCTCTGCGGAACATAAGAATAAAAGGCACTTACTTTCTGGTCAAAACCAGAAGAAATCTTTCATTCTTAAATGTTCTTATCACCACACTTACACTGAACTGAAATCAAAGACCAGCGCTCTATTTTGCAGGTGTACATTGAACGACTTTTAACTAGTGCTAACATCGATCTTTGTCCTACTAATTGGAAAAAGATTGTCCTCGGAGCTGTGCGTCTTGCCTCCAAGGTTTGGAGAAACCGTGGTCTGTGGAGTGAGGATGACAGCCAGAATCCCCAGGACGTTGCAGTTGAGAACATGTGAGTTTGTCAGATTTTGGCGATCTTTGTAACCAGTTTCCATGCCTCGTTGCTCTCCAAGTTAAGACTGTAAGAAATATCTTTATAGGTTTCATTGTGCAGGTAAAGGAAATAGGTATAAGACCGCAGACTTCTCTCTATCCAGCGTTAGTGTAACAGTTTGTATTTTCCAGCATTAATGGGTAGGTCTTGATGTGTTATTGTTGCAATAACCTGCTTGATGAACTGAAAAGTATTTTTCTGGTTATTTTCTGGCAAACCTCTTACAAGTGTACTATCAGAATGATAAGGTACAGTAAATATCTTTATAGCTTTTGAGAAGCTACGTGCCAGTTTCAGTCCCCTTTTAAGGGGTAAACATCTGGCCTTTGAAATAATTGGCCACTGTTAAGATCATAAGGCCTCTGGACTATGGGGAAGTTATGGCTTCAACTTCAGTCACCCATTGTGTATTTGCTTTTGCTGGCCCTTTCTTCTCCCTTTTATCTGAAGATCTATTTTTACAGGAACCTTGAGAAATGAAGTTAAATAGCCACAGATTCCTGTGCTCTGGTCCCTCCCCATTGAGAGTGTTGCATGTATTTGGAAATTGGTCTGATGAGTTAGAAGCTCCAGCGTTCACCAACCACAGTGTGAGAAGCATTCTGGGGCATCACCACATGCCCACCACACTCTCAAGTCTCCATGGGTACTCAGATATCTGCAGCAGCACTCTTTGGGCCTGGAATTGCCCATGACCATGTGAGGAGCCTTGCAGAGTCATGGGGTTCCTCCCAGATGCACCAACATGACACTGAAACACAGCTTCACCAGGGCTCCCTTCCAATCCAGCCTCATGACTGCTGTGAAGGGAGGGGCCCTGGAGCTGGCAGGCAGGGTGAGCAGGGAGGCATTTCCAGCAGAGCCTTCATGGATGCCCACTAGACAGTGAGGACAGCTGTGTGGGCTGCATCTGTGCAAGACAAGGGAGCAGTTTTGTTTACATTGAGCAGCAGCAGCAGATCAAGATCATGCCAGGCATTGGCACGAGTTAGTGTTATGACTTTTACTTATGACTCCAGATAAGACTGTCATTCACAATCACCTCAGTGTACGTCTACAATTGAAGATACAGTGTCTATTGTAGATACACCTCAGAGTATATTTACGTTCAAAAATGACCCCTTTGCGGCTGAGCTCAGTGGCTCATGCCTGTAATCCCAGCACTTCGCGAGGCTGAGGTGAGTGGATCGCTTGAGCTCAGGAGTTGAAGTCCTGCTGGGTAACACAGTGAACCCTGTCTGTACCAAATGTTTTTTTTTTAAAATTAGCTGGGCATGGTGGCAGGCAGTAGTAGTCCCAGCTACTTGGGAGTCTGAGGTGGGAGAATTGCCTGAGCCTGGGAAGTTGAGGCTGTAGTGAACTATGATCACATCACGGCACTCCAGCCCTGGGTGAAGGAGCCAGACCTTGTCTCAAAAAGAAAAACAAAAAACCATTTTTGCCACCACTTTGCTAATAGTATAAACCAAGTGATCATGGTGACATTTCTGATAGCCATTTTAGCAAAGAGTGTGACAGCAAATGAATTTGAAACAAACGGAAGTACTTTGGAAGTTCCAAACGCTAAAGTGGCTTTGATCATAGTCATCCTTTTGTAAACTGGTTCCTTGAAGAAAGCAAGATTTGTGACTGCCTGAGTTCTCCTTGCCTGCTGCCTAGCCAGAGCTGATTGATTAAGACAGGGGAATTGCAATAAAGAGTTTAATTCACACAGAGGCAGCTGTATAGGAGTCCAGCGTGCTACTATTACTCAAATTAGTCTCCCAAAAACTCTGGGATGGTTTTTAAAAGAATAATTTGGTGGGTAGGGGGTCAGAAAGAGGGGAGTGCCGATTGGTCATATCAGAGATGGAATCAGAGGGAGTTGAAGCTGTCCTCCTGCACTGAGTTGGCTCCTGGGTGGGGGCCACAAAACCAGATAAACAAAGTTTATTGATTGAGGTGCTGCCACCTGATCCCAGTGCAGGGTCTGCAAAATATCTCAAGTTCTGGTCTTAGGTTTAACAATAGTGATGCTATTCCCAGGAGCAATATGGGGAGGTTCAGACTTTTGCAGGCTTCAGCTGCATGACTTCTCAACCATAATTTCTAATCTTGTGGCTAATTTGTTAGTTCTGGAAAGGCAGTCCAGTCCCCAGGCAGGAAGCAGGTTTGTTTTGGGAAAGGGCTGTTACTGTCTTGGTTTCCAAGCTAAACTATAAACTATGTTTCTCCTGAAGTTAGTTTGGTCTCTGCCTAGGAATGAACAAGGACAGCTTGGAGGTTAGAAGCAAGATAAAGTCAGTTAGATCAGTTCTCTTTCACGGTCATGATTTTCTCAGTTACAATTTCTGCAAAGGCGGTTTCAAGTTTGTAATCACGAACAGCTGAATTGTTCTCAAAACCTGCAGCTCAGCTGACTGGGGCTCTGAGTTCTAGTCACAGGATCAGAGCGCATGCAGGGATCTGTGCAGGTTTCCACAGAAGTGAGCTCCAGGAGCAGTGGGGCAGAGCCCAGCTCCAAGAAGACCAGTTCCCAACAGTGCTGTTGCTGTGTGAACGGAGAAAAACCAGGAGCTATGCTCCAAGCAGGCTGCTTCTGTTTATGATCTTGGGAAGTTGAAAAGCATATGTCAAAGCATTTAATAGACATTTGTCTCAACCCCTGCTGTTGACTGTTTGCAATGATCCCATTTTGAGTGTAAATTTAATAGTTAAAAATTGGTGTCTATCGGATTTTTCTTAAAAATTTCCAACATCTATATGTCTTCCTAGAATATGTTTCCTTTCTAAAGAGTAAGTTAAACTGAGTAGCCACTATTCAGAAAATTTGCTGTGTCTGTAAAGGTTATGCTCTTCAATCATCTAGCCATTATAAAAAACCACAAAGCCCAGAAGATGCATATTCTATATACAGAATGCTTTTCTTCAGTGAGTAAACCTCTATTAAGAGACATGTTAATTCTGTAAAGTACTGTATTTCTACACAGTTACAATGTACTAGTGGAGAAAATAAAAAGGGATTATGAAGTGCTATTGATTCCTGTAGTAAGTCAGGTACTGATCAGCTGTCTATTCAAATATCATTTGATTTACATTTCTATAGACTTATGGACATGTGAACAGGAAATTAATTTTGGAATTAGGTTCAGCTGGGTTTTAAGTTCAGCAAATGAGATCACCACATCTTGGCTCGTGGTCTAACTGTCCCCCTTACAGGAAAACATCAAGCATTTGTTGACTTAGCCAGTAGGTAAAATATCAAAGCTTTCAGCCCAAGAAACCAAATGTGTTGTTTAGATATTGATTATTTTTAACCAATTACCTCATGACACAGGTTACTCTGAAAGCAGCCAGATTTACTCTGTGTACCTATTAATTTAGCCTTGGTGAGGATGGCTGGATGACCATATGGCAGAGGACGGCTCCCAGCCCTTTCCTCTCCCAGTACATTCAACTTCCCACAACCCATTCTGGCCAGGGGTGACAGATGCTGAGCACTTCAGGGTTGCATTCCCAACTCAGCAGCAACACTGCATGCATAAGGCCAGGACCCTCCTAGAAAACATCATAAAATGGGTTTAGTCTAGCCAAAATATCTCTCCTTGATTTTTCTGCCTTTCAAACTTTGAAGATTAAAGATTATCCTTGCCCCGTCATAGTGGCAGTTTCACCTCTTCATAGTACTAAGGTGAGCAGAATCTTGCATTATGCCCCCTTCACATAGCCTTGTGTGCTGGAGCAGAGGGAAGGGGATTCTTGTTGCCATGGAATGTAGCTTGCTTATGTATGTATTTGGGATGAATCCTCCCTGTAGCCTTAGTGTTTTTCCTCCTCTGAGATAATAGGCTGGTTCTCCATGGGTCCATTTGTGGCAGTGGTGATGTGCCCAGTCCTCTTATTGGTTCTTCTCTTCTTCAGTAAGGCCCTTCCTGTTGTCGTCCTGGTAAAAATGCATGGAGGTCCTTCAGAGCTGATAAATGGCACCCGTCATTCCTGTCATGGGATTGCTATTGCGGGGCTTGTGATTGAGCACGGAGTTTGAGTTGTGCAGCTGCCCTAAGGGAACTCTGAAGAATGAGCCCCGAGTCAGCAGCATGAATGCAGAAGAGGCTTCCACCTTTCCCTCATCCCAAACTTGGGGTGCTGGGAGGCAGAAGAGACCCCAAGCAGCTGTGTCTTGCTTGGACATTAGTGTGGGAACCCAACCAGGCAGCCTTTATTTGTTTCAAAACAGAATTTAGAGCATCCCAGTAGCTCAGAAGGATATTTTTAAAGATAACCCGCTTGACTAGAACTGTCCTATGTTGGTTTAATTGTGTTTCTTCTACCCCAGGAGCAAGATGGAGAAGTGTTTTTTGGAGTTACTTGAGTTTAATATTCATGTGTCTGCCAGTGTTTATGTAAAATATTACTTTGACCTGCGTGCCTTGGCAAATGACCATGACGTGTATTTTCTATTTCATTTTCTTCACAAAGATAAAGCCCGGAGACTGAAGGTAAGGATGTGAAGTCACTTAGCAGAGTTTACCATCAGCCACAGAAGCCAGCATCTGTGACAAAATCATATTAAGTAGCGATTAGGAAAATGAAAGCCTTAAAATTAACAGACCAAAAAACTAGTTCTTTGGCAACATATTTCTTTTCTTTTATGGTTTATACAAGGATCCATATTCTTTTATTTATTTGTTTGTTTATTGAGACAGAGTTTCACTCTTGTTGCCCAAGCTGGAGTGCAATGGTGCGATCTCAGCTCACTGCAACCTCCGCCTCCCAGGTTTGAGTGATTCTCCTGCCTCATCCTCCTGAGTAGCTGGGATTACAGGCATGCGCCACCACCACCTAATTTTGTATTTTTAGGAGAGACAGGGTTTCTCCATGTTGGTCAGGCTGGTCTCTAACTCCTGACCTCAGGTGATCCACCCACATCAGTCTCCCAAAGTGCTGGGAATACAGGCATGAGCCGCCAGGCCCGGTCAAGGATCCATATTCTGAAAAATTTATTGATATCCTTTCTGCTGTGACCACATTGTTAATTAAATTTAGTCTGTTCTTAATGGGTTTTATTTTTAACCTCTACCCATTCACATAACAATACGTGAATAAATGCAATTGTATTCCTAATTATATCTACATACACAGTACACTTACCACTCTTGACTGTCTTTTACTTACGCAGTTTGCAAATTCATGTTATCATCTAGTGTATATAGCACAGTGCAGTCCCATGAGTTTATTAGACAAAGCAGAAGTGGCTGAGAGACTTGTACTGAGACTGTATAAGGTGCCAGTGTTTCAAATACTGGGTAGGAAGGACATGGGTTTTTAATGGAAATGGTAACTTTCATGGGGCAACGTATGATTTATGGCTTTGACTCTTGGTGAGTATACAGGAAAATTACCACTGAAATCGACACATTTAAAATTGCCACTTTCTCTGGTATCTTGGTGGTACTTTAGAATAATACACTTTTCTATCACAATGTGCAAGTAAAGTAGCACCTTTTGGTGTTCCACTCATGAGACTTCTTAGATGTTCCAAGACAGCCCAGAGCACACCTGCCTCATTAAAATTTGCTTTGAGTATTTGGTAACTAATCAGGATTGGGTAGAATTTGAATCGCTGAGTAAATGGATGTTTTGGCACAAGTGCATGTTTATTATGTCGAAGGAACAAGTGCACAGGTAACAGATGATATAGTTGTCAGGTGCTTGTCACAATACTCTTGAAATCTTTGGGAGTCCTATTTTATTTTTTTGTGACAGTATCATCAAGCAATGAGCCCAATTTTAAAATAACTTAATAAAATAAATTCCTCTTGGCTCTGGCAATCTATTCGTAGCCCTTAAAGGAGCTTGCCTTAGTGAATGGGCAGGGAGTAGCATCCTCAGGACCTGGCAGTGTAAACCTCAGCCAAAGCAGCTGCGAAGGAACCATCTAAAGAAATCTGTATGTGTGGCTTCTCATCAGCAATGCCTTTTAAAACATGTTGGAACCCTTTTTAAAATTGTACCTGTTTTCTCTTTGAATGACTTTCCTAGGCTATGTCACGGCCGTGTGAATACAAAGACTTGCATCAAGATGCCGCTGCTATGAAAAGGGCTATCAGCATGAATTTCATTGGTATTCGGTGCCCTAATGCCATCTTATCTTAAAGAGAGAAATTAGCCTTATAAGATCCTGAACTTCTCAACTATAAAGACAAGAAAATACTTGTCCTGCTGGAAAAAAAAATTAGGATTTTCTTTTTTTCTTTTTTGTTTTTTGTTGTTATTGTTAGTGTTTAGGATTTTCATCAAGAGGAAACATCTTCCATCAAGAGGAAACATCTCCCAGTTACCACACGGTGGATGGGTCATGGTGGCATGAACAGTGGGTGCCAGGTGCTTCCTGCCCTTCCTCTTCCACTGGTTCCAGATGGCATTCCTAGGGCACCACCTTCCTGAACAACTCTTGGGGAGGAAGAGTGTCGCATGGACACAGCACATCCCAACTCAGAGTCTACAGTCACCCACAGTCTTAAGCAGGTGCCAGTGGTGTCCACAGTCACCCACAGTCTCAAGCAGGTGTCAGAGGTCTTAGCTGAGCTGGAGCTCAAAAAACTTTAGAATTGGCTCCACATTTGTGAAAGTACCTGGGTTTGGTTCTCTGTCCACTGAGGCACTGAATGCACGATGGCCCAGAAGTCAACAATGGTGGGAAGAGGGAGTGGCATCAGGGCCAGGCTGTCATTACTCCAAGGACCAGGGTAGCTCAGGCCTGCTCATCTAGTCTTTGGAGGGAATCTTTGTGTGTGAAATGAGGCCTCCAAGTCATGGTTATAAAGGAAGAGATGAAATCAGCTCATCTTCCCCCAGGCCGATAATGGTCACACCACCTAGGGAAGCAGCAGCAGACCAGGCCTTGGGATTGTTAGGGGAGCTACGGAAGTGAACACTGAATTTACCCAGTTCCAGGAAAACAACAAAGGAGGAACATCTGGGTTCAAAATGTTATCAGAAGATCATTTTCCCAGCTAATCTTGCCCTGGTGCATTGTATGGTCTCAGCACTTGTCAACAAAACAAAAGCCCCTCAATAATTCTAACACAGGGAAACACCACAACTCACATTTTCCAGTGCACTGCAGAGGTTCAGGAGATTGCTGGTGCTGCCTGCATCTGTCAGTCTGTTCACATATGGAGAGGAACAGCGGTTCTCATGGGAGTGGCTTCTGCATCCTGAGGAAGTTTGCCCAGACATTGGTTGTAATAACTGGTGGCACCCACTGACATGCAGTCCACAATGGGAATCCTGTGGTGCAAAGGAATGCCCCCCTTTTCAATCAAGAAATAACTTTCTGGCTTCCAAAATAGAAAGATCTGAGGATCAACTGCCTCAGAGACTACAAGGGAAACACTTTCTGAGACTGTTTTTTTTTTTCTTACAAGAACACCAGATCCCCACCAATGTGAGATGTTAGATCAAGTTTTAGTGCAAGGGTAGATGTTGGGGGCAGAAATCTAAGATGCCCCATGATCCCTGCTGTCTTTTGTTACACCCTGAATCCTCATCTTTCCTTGGGTACGGCCAAACCAGTGCCTTGTTCTAGACGTTTGAATATGGCAAAGTGAGGGAGTGGCTCTCTGGGAGTTACCTTTCCTTTCCTTTTATCAGGAACAATAGGAATCCCTATTTTCTTTCTTGTGTTTACTTTCACAGTGCAGTGGTTTGGAATATCCCACTATCGATTTGTGACTTCCTCTTCCAACCATAATCTATGGCCCTTTGTATGTAATTGAATATTTTCATGTATTGACATTTTGTGTCTGAAGATGAAATGTTAGACTAAATCTATGAAAACATTTCATGCAAAGCCTTCAGTGATTGTAGAGTCTACTCTTTGGTGAATACACAAATTGATCTGTTAAAAATTGTATTAGATGTGATAATGATATTTTCTTTTTTATCTTCACCTGTTAGATATACTTACTTTAATTCTTCCAAAATTAATGATATGATTTAAAATACTACTAGGATATTTGGAGTTGATAGTTGAAAATAAAAGGCAAAATAAGAATTACTGAGGCCTAGTGATAATGTATTTAGGATGGGTTTATTATGTACTATCCCTATCATTAAATGTTTAAATTTCCATGCAAACCTATACATAAGAACTTGAAATGTTCTATAAAACCCTTCTTGCTCTGCACTTGAGCTCCAGTGCATAACAAATAAAAGGAAAATGGATTCTCCTTCCGGAAGTTTGGCTGGATTCTCCCTTTCTTTTCCCTGCAATGCAGGGAGAGCATTTTGAGGTCACCATGGGGTGAGGTGGCCATGAGTGGGGGTCCTGGAGATGGCGGCCTTGAGGAGTGCGTGTGTGGACATGGGTTTGGTGGCCACGATTCTCCCTTGGGTCTTTCTGGTTGTGGTGGTGGCTGTGAGGACTGTGTCTGGGGATCCTCTCCAGGGGAGTTCTCTGCTCCTGCGGTCTCCCTGTGGAGAGGGCCCGAGGATGTCTGGGGAGGGATTCATAGGGTCGCCCCTGTGTGACCCGCCCTGTGCGGGTCTCCAGGAAAGTATGTTTTTAGGGGTAGTTGCAGGAAGCCATCGCCTGAGTGGAGGGTGGGGCCTGGTCTCCCCTGTAGGGTGGGCGGGATGTCTGAGGGAGTGCTGGAGGGTTATCCTCTGCGTCGGGGTCGCTGTGCAGGGTCTCAGCACAGTCCTTGACCTGGGGAAGTCATTGTGGAGACTCCGAGGTTGTTGGGGCCGGGAAGGGGGCAGCCTGGGCGGTCTCCGTGGTGTGTCAGCGTCGCTGATGCCAGGAGACAGGTATGGGAGGAGTCTTTGGAGGGGAATAATTGTGGAGTCCCCACGTTCTGGGCTGGGAAAACTCGAGGGTGCTCTAAGGCCGGAGGCCAATGCGGGGTGCCCAGGAATAACCTAGTGGGGCTCACAGGGGAATAACCGGTCCCCCGAAGGGTAAAGGGTGGAAGGAAGGGACCTCAGCTGGTCAGGTCTTGCAGGGCCCTTCTGTAGGGCTTCTGGGAGATAGAGGCTTGGAGCTCCTGAGGTCGCCCCTACCCGGGGCAGGGTATTTTCCCTGCGCCAGACCTTCCTGGGTCCCGGAGGAAGGAAATGAAACCGGCTTCCCCCTCTCCACCGCCACGCTCGACTCAGGAGCTCTTGACACGCTCTTGACTCACGCGCTCATGTGGCGCTTGGCAAAGGCATTTCGGAGGAGTCGCGGTACTCTTGGGCGGGGAAGCTCCTGGAGTCTCGGGCCTGCAGCAGGAAGGGAGGGAGCTAGTGGCGCACCTCTGCATCCTTTTATTTCGGAATTGGAATTGGGTTTTCTTGGCGCTTGGTGCAGAGCGGAGGGTGGGACGGGCGTCCCCCTGCTCCTTCTCTGCCAGGCGCAGTTTCCAGGGCAGATCCGAGCGCCTGGGGCGCGACCGCGGGCTCCTGGGACTGTCAGGGGCCGTCTGTGCCCTGCGAGGGCCAAGCCAGCCCCACAGCTCCTGCGCGGGCCAACGAGGGCGCCCGGTGCAGAACACGGACCAGCAGCCCGAGCTCCCGAGGTGGACAATTTTGCTCCGGAACCAGCGGCGCCAGGTAGGGCTACAAACAGAGGGAATGCAGAGGGCTGGCCAAAAATTGAAGAAAGAAAAAAGGCAAATTATTGAATGTGGTAGTCATGAAATGTGGGGTTTGGTGTTGGATTTGAGTGTTACATTGGGTTTCGAATGAATGATTATGATGCAGTTTTAGGACTGGCGGTAGACAACTGTAAAACTCCAGGCACCTGCGGAGAGGAGAGTCGTTGATAACCTTTCTGTGAGAAGGCTCTTTTGAGCTGTGTTTGATAAGAAATATGCCCAACCCTACGAGTACAGCTTTCACATTGCTAACAATCTGCGAGTCAGAGTGGTCTTCAATAAATGACTATCATTTCCTTTGCTTCTCTGAGCTGGTTAAACGAATCACATGGTTCTTGCCCATTAATACCCCTGCATGGGTGACCAAACCTTCGCGTGTTAGCTTGCTGCCTCCGTTTTCTTTATCATGCTTTCAAGTGGACAAGAAATAGATTTCATTTTTACAATCTGAGACTTGGGTTTCTGAAAGTCTAAAACAACCTTAGTGTATGTTGACATGTTGATTTTTAAAAATGTTTTACTGAGGTATATTTTATATAATATAATCACATATTTTAAATACAACTCCAAGCTATTTAGTATACTTATAGAGCCATGCGGGTTTAATTACCACCTAAATTTAGAGTATTTGTATCTTTTAAGAGGAAAATGCATCCTATTTGCATTCACCTTTGCTGTGTCAGATCTAGACAACAATCAATTTTATGTCTCTATAGATGAGCCTATTATCAGAGCTTCTAATAGCCAGGATCATGAATTATGTGGTCTTTTGGGTCTGGTTTCTTTCACTTAGCCTAATGTTTTTGGGTTTCATTTCTGTTGTGGCTTGCATCATTACATCATTCCTCTTGGACGGCAAGTAGCGTTCTATTGCATGGACATTACCACATGTTATGAGCATTCATATAAGAGTCTTTGTATGATTATAGGAATTTCACTCGTTTTGCATACTAACTTTGGGTTAGAATTTCTGTGTCGTATAGTGATTTTATGTGCAACATTTTGCGTGATAGCCACATTTTTATTTCGTATTGTTTTGTTTTCAAGGTGGCGCAATATTTCACATTCATATTTGCAGCACATGTGAGTTCCATATTCTCCACTTCTTTTCTAACATTTGTCATTGTATCTTTGGTATAGCCATTCTAGTGGGTGTCAATTAGTATTAATTGTGGTTTGACTTGTATTATTTTAGCAACTCATGAAATTGAGCAAATTGGCAAATTGTGTATCTTCTATGGAAAAAGTCTATTCAAATATTTTGACCATTTTTAATTGGTCAATAGTTGTTTCATTATTGACTGATAAGAGTTTTTTATATATCCTACATACTAGCTTCTCTGAGTTTGGTTTTTAAGATTCCTTATATGAGATTATATACATATATATATATAATATTCTTTATAAACTCTAGTATACCCAAATCACATATACAATTTAAAATATTTTCTCCCATTAAGCAGCATATTTTTTCATCTTCTTTTTGATGTTCTAAGAACAAAAGTTTCCAATTCAATAAAGTATAATTCATCTGTTTTTTAAAAAATTGTGCCTTTGATGTAATATCTTATACATATCTATGTAATCCAAGAATACAAATATTAACCCTATGATTTCTCCAAAGAATTTTGTGTTTTACCTCTTACATGTTGATAGATTATCCTTTTTGAGTAGTTTTGGGCAGCTGCGGTTTGAGTTAGGGGTCCACCTTATCCTTTTGCAAAGTGGATATTTAGTTTTCCCAGCAAAATTTTTTAAAATGACATTTATTTTCCTATTATAATTTCTTGGCATCTGTGACACAATCAATTTACCATAAATTAATGTTTATTAGTTGCCCTTCTGTTCTATTCGCCTACATGAATCTATACTCATGTTAGTACCAGACTATAACACTACAATAAAGATTGATATTGGTTGTGTGGGCATGGTGGCTCACACTTGTAATCCAAGCATTTTGCGAGGCCGAGGCAGGATAATTGCTTGATCCCAGGAGTTTGAGACTAGCCTGGGCAAGACACCAAGACCCCATCTCTACAAGAAAAAACAACGTTAGCAGGATGAGTGGCATGCACTTGTTGTCCCAGCTACTCCTGTGGCTGAGGTGGGAAGATCACTTGAGCTCAGGAGTTCCAGGATGCAGTGAGCTGTGATTGTGTCACTGAACTCCAGCCAAAGTGACAGAGAAAGACCCTGTTGCTGAAAAACAAAAATAAAAAGATATTGGCAGGGCAAGTCATTAAATTTTGTTATTCTTTTTTAAGAAATTGCATTTATTTTGTTTTGGTTGCATATCCACATGCATTTTAGGAAGAGCTTTACAATTTTTATTGACAAAACTAGCAAATTTGCATTGAATCTATAGAACCAGCTTTTAGTATTTTGGTGTTAATAGTAAGTATCATTATTCTTGAATATTGATGTCACTCAACATATTCAGTTCTTTGATTACTTTTAGCATTTTAGAATAATTTTTTCACCATAAAGTCATTGCATTTATTTTGCTACATTTATTTCTGAGTATTTCTTCCTTTATGATGCTTTTACCAATGGAAATTTTGTCTTCATTTAATTGTTAGAATAACCAATTTTATGCAATAGTACAATTTAATTTTGTATGTTGATCTTATATCTGATTGTATCTAATTAACTTACTAATTCATCTAGGTTTTCAGTAAATTTCTTACACATATTTATACAAAATTATGACATGTGAAATGACCTATTTCTTTTTCAATCTGGGGAAGGGGTAGGAGAAGGGTTCTGCCTAGGCCTGGCCCTTCTTCCCATCTGGTCATTGCGGGAGGCCCAGAACCTTGTTGGGGGCTATGGAGAGGCACAGGGTCTGCTGGGGTCCCTGGGCCTGGAGGGGCAGGGATGGAGGGAGAGCCTGGCTCCCGCTTCACCTGGTTAGGATAAACACCAGAGCTGTCCTGACGGGGTCCTGGCAGCACAGCAGAGGCACAGGTGAGGCACCCTGGTGAGCTGGGCATGCTCCCTCTCCCCAGCTGAGCTGCCCTTGGTCTCTTGCTACCAGCTGTGGTCCCCCTGGGAGAGACTTGGTTCCCTCCTGGCAGGGAAGGGGCTGCCAGAATGGGAAGGTGGAGCCACCAGCTTCTCAGTTGGAGCTCAGAGGCCTGGGGGACCAGTGTAGTTGTCCTCTGGGAGACAGGGATGGGGGGTTCCATCCCCCTCCATCTCACCAGCACCAGTGACTCTCAGGAAGGAGATGACTGTCAGGGCACCTGCAGGCGGCAGCAGGAACCAGAGGCCCCAGCCAGCCACTAGGCCCAGAAGGCAGAGGAGATGTTCAGTGCCTGTGACTGGCAGACTGGGGCAGCCCCTCAGGGCCTGAACCCCGGTCTGCATCAGCTGTTGCCAAAGCAGTTCTGCCCCACCCTCTGGGGTGGAAACTGAGCAGAGGACCCCACTACTGGGACTTGCCCCTGTCAGTCAGTCTCCTAGGTCTCAATCTTGAGGGGTCCAGGTACGTGATCACGCCAGCTGAGGCAGCACTGGCGGGAACCTTGGCCCTGGCCTGGGAAACGCAACCCTCAAGAAGGCAGGAGAAAGCGACTGCCATCAACTGATCTCAGACCACCGCGTTCCTCCGAGTCTTTGAGTAACATCTCTTTCCAGGCATTGCCACCAGGGAGGAACTGGCCAGAGAGACGGGCCTCCCGGAGTCTAGGATTCAGATTTGGCTTCCAGGCCAGGGTGGCAGGGGACGCATGCACACAGGCAGCTGGTGCAACTTGCCCGTGGGCAGATGTCACTCTCCCCACACCTGGGCCTGGGAAAGGCCGCTTCCCGCACCCCACATGAACAGCCCGCCTTGGGTTCTCCCACGGAGAGCTTTCCTGAGCCAGGCAGCAAGGACCTTCACTCTGCTCCAGCCCAGCCAGGCTTCACAGGCATAAGGAATCTCCCACCTGCTCCTGGCACTGGGTCTTTTGGATTCCATGTCCTGGCTGCTATGGAAGCGGGGGTATCCCACCGTCAGACTCCTCGGTGGCCTCTGCACCCGACCAGATGTCAGGAGGACCAGGACCCACAGCATGGCGGCCTGCTGGGGGCGTGCTCAGTGGGACAGCTTGGGCCCAGTCAAGCTGAGTCACAGAGGTAAGGTGTACTTGTGCCCCACTCGTTCCACCTGAGTCCGTGGTGGGGCTGGGGCCAGGGGTCCCAGGTCGCCAGGGCGGCATAGGAACCCGAAGCTAAGGCGCCTCCACCTCCACAACTGGTGCCTGCGTAGGCCTCCGCGTGGCAGGGGCAGATGCAAGCCATCCAGGCGCCCTCCCAGCCACTCCACCAGCCTGTTAGAGGAGCTCTTGTCGACCCGAGTTTCAGCAAAAGGCATAATCTCTTCTAGATCCAGAGCCACTGGGGGAGCTAAAGGACGTGGAAAAGCTCACTCTGCTGGAACCACTCCTAAGAGATGAAGAATACCGGGCCCTGCCCCAGGAATTTTAGGACCAGGGTTGGGGGTGGGGTGGGGCACAGCGATGGACTCTTTGGGGGTGAACATCAGGCTCGGAGAGGCGAGAGGTCTCTCTTCTCTTTCACCTGACCTGTGTAGAATCTTTGAGTTCCGGGTCCCGTGACGGACTACACACAGAGAAGAGTTGTCATCCTTTCTTGAGCATCCAGGGGACCTCAGACACGGCCCCAATACACCCAAGTGGGCCGTCTACTGCGCATGCGCGGGACCGCAGGCAGCTGGCTAGGCTTTGGGATCCGCCCAGGCAGAGGTCTCGTTCCTTTTTCGTCCCGCGTTCTTCAGTGGGGTAGGGGGAGAACTCGGTCCTGCGAAACACTAGGACCGGATAGCAGACAGGTCGGCTGTCTTTTCCGCGGCTCGCCTCCGCTGCCTCCCCGCTCCAACGTTACTTGCCCACCTGTGCCCCGCCGGCCTCCTCGCCATCATTGAGTGCCTGGCAGCTAAATGTAGAGCCCAGACCTCGAGCAAACCCGGGTGCTGCCCTTTCAAGACGGGAGTGAAGGCAGGCAGAGATGGGGAGAGGAACCGAGGCAGCGAAGGAGAAAAGGATGGAGGGAGGACAGGACGGTTGGACAGAGGGAGGTTGGAAGGAAGGCAGGGAGGAGAGGAGGGAGGAAAAAGAGGGAAAAGCGAAGTCAGGGAGAAAGGGAGGGAGGGAGAAAGAACGTGAGTGGGGGAGGAATGGACGGAGGAACGGAGGGACAGAGGGAGAAAGCAAGCAAGAAATAGAGAAGGGGAGGCAGATAGGAAAGCGGTCTTCTGCCTCCAGGACCAACAGGACCCCGCACTCCGGGAATATGTTGGGCGACCAGTGCGGCCTAAGTGCTTGGCCCACAGCCGCGTCGGCCCGCGGGGGCTCACCGACCCTCCGAATCGCTAGACCTGAGCGATTGTGACGAATTCCTTCTCCCAAGGAATGAGTCAATTTCCCGAAGAGCAAAGAGCCGAAATTCGGGTGGTTGTCTGTTTTTCATTCCGCGTTCAGTGCAGAGGCCGACTGAGGCACAAGGGAGCTGGCCGGCCTCTCTCTGTCCGTGTCTGTCCTGTGAAATTCTGGCAAGGTCTCTCCGCGACGGCTCTCCCCACACCTTCTGACAACCCTCTCCCCGAGGTAGCGAGGAGGAGGAAGGCGAAGGAGACTCTTTTGGACTGCGACCCTAAGGGATGACATGCGAGCGTGCTTTGAGCGGAACTCTGGCATCACCAGCAGAGAACAGCTGGCCCAAGCAATCAGCATTCAGGAGCCCAGGGTCCAGATCTGGTTTCAGAATGAAAGATCACGCCAGCTGAGGCAGCACCAGCGGGAACCTCGGGCCTGGCCTGGGAAACGCAGCCCTCAAGAAGGCAGGAGAAAGCAAACTGCTGTTCCCTGATCCCAGACCACCTTGCTCCTCTGAGCATTTGAGAAAGATCGCTTTCCAGGCATCAACAACAGGGAGGAACTGGCTGAGTAGCCTTGCAAAGGCAACTCTCTGCATGCTCTCTGACTTTTGGAGGAAAGGTAAATGCTTCTGGGCATATTTTCCTCTCTTACTTTTTTGAGGCCGGTTGGTGGGTGGGATAAGGCCAAGACTGGAGTGGAATTTTAAAGATTCAGCGCTGGAGTCCATATGTCCCACTGGGGGAGCTAACCTGTGGCCTCACACAGTGATCCTGGACCTTTTAAGCCTGCTGTCCCTCAGAACTGTTTTCTCACCTTTTAATGGAATGACGTGTGCGCTTCAGCTTGTTTAGCAAAAGCACTCTGGAATCATTTAGCTTTTGAGATTAAAAAACACAAAACCATAGCACAGCTGTTTTTTTTTTTGTTTTTTTGTTTTTTTTGTTTTTTTTTTGCCCAGGCTGGAGTGCAATGGCAAGGTCTCGTCTAACTGCAACCTCCGCCTCCTGGGTTCAAATGATTCTCCTGCCTCAGCCTTCTGAGTAGCTGGGATTACAGGTGCATGCCACCACACCTAGCTATATTTTTTGTATTTTTAGTATAGACAGGGTTTCACTATGTTGGCCAGGCTGATCCACCCACTTCGGCCTCCCAAAGTGCTGGGATTACAGGCCTGAGCCGCTGCCCCTGGCCAGCACAGCTGTCTTTAGGCAAGCAAGATCACATCTACTCCAGCACGATCTGTCATCTGAAGACTTGAAAACAAAAATGAAGTTATTATAGTCACTGGGTGGGCAGTGTCTGAATGCATACTAATCAACACAAACCTTTGAAAGGTTATACTTAGTACAGAACTTTTAAACCTTGCTCTGTATGAATTGTACTTTTTGAACATAAGCTGCACTTTATTTTCTAATCTGGAAGATGAATAAGTTAAATACATGCTTTGAGGATGCTAGTAATTGCAAGTGATATACGTGATTGTGATTTTGCTTTGCAATTTCCTAATGAAAACAATGTTGAGCACCTTTTCATGAGCTCATTAGCCACTTGAATCATTTATTCCTGTACTGATATGTTGTCATCACTAATCATAAAAATGTCATCTGATAGAATATATTTTTCTAAGTTAATTTACTTATGAGAAATTTACAAGGGCATAAAATAATTTGCTCAGTGAATGTAGTCATCTCATTTAATCTTTGATGTTTTAGATGACAATATTTTTTGTTTTTTTGAGACAGAGTCTCATTCTATCGCCCAGGCTGGAGAGCAGGAGGGAGAACACAGCTCACTGCAGCTTGGGCTTCCCAGGCTCAAGGGTCCTCCAACCTCAGTTTCCTGAGTAGCTGTGGCTACACGCATGCACCACCATGTCCAGCTTTTTGTAAACTTTGTAGACATGGAGTTTTGTCATCTTGCCCAGGCTGGTCTCGAACTCCTGGGCTCCAAGAAATCTTCCCAACTCAGCCTCCCAAAGTGCTGGGATATCAGGCATCAGCCATCAAACCTGGCTAAGAAGGCTTGGTTTTCTTATTGGCATATTCTATATTCACCAAATGAAGTATCTACAGTCTCAGTCCTGGTCGGGTAAGCAAAAAGAAATAATCTGCAGTAATTTTGCATGCTTATATTCAAATTTTATATCCAAATCCACAACATATTGGCCTAATTTTAAAGTTTTTTAAACAATATAGGTAATGTCCATGTAAACCTTTCATGGCTTTTTAAACTTAAAAGAGATTTGAAAGAATATCTAAATCTTAAAATTTTTTAAAGAGACACTTAAAACAATGAGAAATTTTGGTTATACTTCAGAAAATTTAAAATGTGTTTCTTTTTTTACTTCGTAAATATTCTTAGTGTTTGTAGCCTCTATATTTAAAAAATTACTTAATCCTCTTAGTTTATTAACATATTACCAACAGGTTGTTTACATTAATCTCCACAGTTAACAAACTCAATAGTTTTAGTACTGCTTATTCTTAATAATATTTACATGTGTCTTTCACATTTTTTGTATCCTTTTCATTTTATTAATGAATCAGAAAATAGGCAATAAAAATTCAAAGCCACTGTCTCTTCTTCCGTTTGTCAAGCCAACAATCTGTCAACATGGGATTACATTAAAAGAGAAAATGACTATCTTGAACTGCAGCGGATTCTCTTCCCTGTTCTCATTCACGCTGGCAGAGTCCAGCTTGTGAGGAAGGGAGCCCAGCTGGGACCAACAGGCGGAAGTTGCTGCACACACCTCCAGCGTAGGAGCAAAATGCAGCCCCTAACATTTCAAACCATCTTGAAGAGGTTCTGAGGAAAGCCTCCGCACTGGGTGAAAGCTGTGGGGACCAAGATCTCTGTGGCTCCTCTAAGCACAAACTGAGAGGACGGCAGAGGACCCAGGCTCTGCCCCCACCTTTTTCTTTAGACTGAGGAGTGGTGATTGCCATAAAAGAATACCAGAAACGCAGAAATCCAAGCTCTGCTACTCTGGCTCCCGATATTGGCAGTGGCTGCTGCCATCACGCCGGCTGCAGCAGGGAGGCGCGGCGGGGTCTGCACACTCCTCGGAGCCCTGGGAGCCCCGTCCCTTCTGAGTTGGAACCTGAACTCCCCGATGCGCTGCAGCCATCCAAACCGCAGCTACAGACCCAGGCCTCCTGCTCTGCGGATCAGCCAGGACCCCCGCCCTCCCAAACTGCGGCTGTGGGTCGGAGCCTCCCTGTGCTCTTGGGTGGTGGCCGGAAACAGGCAAGATCCGCCCTCCCGGGTGCAGTTGCAGCGACTGACCGCGGCTGCAGACATGGGCCTCCCGTTTCACAGAGCAGGCAGGAGTTAGGGACAAGCGGAAGCCCTGTCGCTTCCGAGTTGGCGGGGCGGGATCTCCCGGGTGCAGCTGCCTCCGGCCGGCAGCTCAGATGCAGGACCCGGGCGTCTCTGCAGCCTGCACCCTCGGGGACACCAGGAAGAATCTCTGTCCCTACAGGCTCGGGGGTGTCCGCTACTGTGCCTGGCCTCCCACTGCTCCTGTCGCCTACTCCGATTGCAGAGCAGGGGTTGGGGCCGAGCCATGAATGGCAGCGGGAGGCAGATCGATTGATTATTGGGCCGAAGGGGGAGGGTCCCCCATAAGGACCCACCTTCAGGCCTGGGAGGGCCTGAAGGTTGGGGGCTGGGCTGCCAGTCCCGCGGACCAGAGTCTGATTGTGTTCTGGAGACAGAAGTTTAATTGCAAAGAAAAATAAAATTTTTAATTTTTATTAAAAAATATGAGAAGTCTATGGAGAAAAATAGAGCAAGTTATCATATATATTTTAAGAACTTGGAGAGGATTAAAATGTTCGCAAAAATATGTAAATCAAGCAAAATATTAAACTAGGTGTGCAAGCCAGAAAATAAATGCTTCACAGACAGAAGGTAAGTTCGGCACAAAACAAGGCGCTCAATCCAGAAAAATCTTTGTCTTTATAGCAGAAAGGACTTACCAGAATAGACAAAAGCACTTTTATTATGCTAGGAGGGATAGATGGTCTTTTATTAAAGTAGCCTTATTCAAACCAGATCCCAACAATGTCAAAAATCCTGTATCAAAGTAACAGATTCTTAACCTGAGGGAAGACTCACCAGGGCAGAAAAGGTGACTTATAAGAGTTCAAAACCAGCCTGGGCAACATAGCAAGATGCCATTTCTATAAAAAATTAAAATCATTTTTTCTAATGCTTCTTTTTTTCATGTAATCTTCCTTCTTCTAAAAATACTTTAAAAACAGGATTTTCTGTTTCCGACTAACTTGGTCTTTGTATCAATGTGGTTTGTTTTCCTCCAAACTGTAGGAATGAGTCATCTGAGTTTTCTCAGTCTCCATAGCTTTAGTTTAATTGTAGGTGCACTTTGTTTATTGGAATATTTCTGTCTGAGCTTGTGTTTAATAGAGAGGTTCAGAAGTAATGTGTTTGAATTTAGTTGTATAAGATTACAGTGCTTTTTCCCACAAATGTGAACTTTACCATATGTGAGTTCAGAATATTATGTGAAATACTTTCACTTGTATTGATCATTTGATTTTCAGGTTTTCCCTGATGAATTTCACCTCCAGACTTAGAATCCTTTTCTTCGGGCCTCTGCTGAGTTACACCAGAATGTAAACGTGAAAAACATAATCATTGCTTTAATTGATAGGTAAGACCTTCCAGCACTGAAGGACACATGCTCGGACTTGGGAATAATGAATTTTAAACATTGTTTGAATTATTTGTTTCTGTTACATCTTTATCACAACAATGATCTCAATTTAATTATACTATAAATAGTGTAGCTTTGTGAGTATGAGTACTAGGTACTTGCCTTGGTTAGACACGAAAGAGGCTTAACTTAAATGTGCCAGAGACGTGAAGATAATATATTTATTCTGTGTGTTTAATTTACATTTAAAGACATTGTACAGACTTATTTTTTAAATTGTACAAATCCAAAGATCATAATGAAGAACAAAATTTGTTTTTTACCATAATGTAAGTATCTTGCAGTGGGAACTCATTTGATTTAGAGTAGCCATAAGATACAGACGATTGAAAATATTCAAGTAATCATTCTATTACATTTTCTTAAATAAAAAATTTTAAGTGTCAAACATGTTTAGTACATCCACTTCTTTATTTTCTTGGATTTTTTTTTGAGACAGAGCCTGACTCTGTCACCCAAGCTAGAGTGCAGTGGCGCTATCTCAGCTCACTGCAACTTCCAACTCCTGGATTCCAGGGATTCTAGTGTCTCAGCCTCCCGAGTAGCTGGGATTACAGACATGCACCACCATGCCCGGCTAATTTTTGTATTTTTAGTAGAGATGGGGTTTTGCCAGGTTGGCCAGGCCGGTCTCAAACTCCTGAGCTCAAATGATCAGCCTGCCTCGGCTTCCCAAAGTGGTGGGATTACAGATGTGAGCCACTGTGCTTGGCCAATGAGTGACTTTTTCGCAGCCATGTTGTGTAGTAGTACAGAATGTCTGTCCTACTACTTGTAAGCATTGTCATGAAACAGGAAAGCTAAGTGAAGACTTATTTCTGTAGATACCTTTTGTATGTTTTTTAAAAAACTAAGTCATTAATTTTAAAGTCTGAGAATTTAGATAACAAAATTTTCCAAATTATCAGCTCGATCCTGGGCAGCAAAAATCCCATACTGATTGGGCCCCCTCTTAAAGGAAGCTAGTAACTGGATTTTCCTGTGTTGCCTGTAATGTCACTTACCCATCTCTGTCAGTAGTGATGCTTCTGGGCGTAACAAAATGTGGATGTAGTTGTGACTCTGACAAACAGATAATGATAATGAACCAGACATTATTTTGAGTAATTTATGATGTGGGAAATAAAAGTTAACTGTATGAATTTTAGACTTAGTTGTATTTCAAACTTTAGTAAAAATGCAGTATCTTAAAAAGTCTATGTACTTTTATTTTTTAAAGATTATTTATTTGAATCATGGTTGTTGAATACATTTGTCACTTTAATGCATTTCTGTCCATATCTACTTAATTATGCTTCAAAGAGTTTGAGAGAATTATCTTGTTGAAAATCTACTTAGTATGGTATGAAATAAGAATGCTGAAGAAAAAAGGTTGCATTGGCAAAACTGTTTAGTTAAAAATGAATTGAGGAGGCCGGGTGCGGTGGCTCCATCTGTAATCCCAGCACTTTCGGAGGCCAAGGAGGGAGGCTTGCTTGAGTCCATTTATTAAAAATAAATGCTCCAGTATGCCTCAATATCTACAGAATGATTTTACTAGTGACTACCTAAAAATCAGTCAGCCTGCTTTTCCTTAATCACCAACATCTGATGTAGAAGAAATAGTTCATTTTTTTCTGAACTGTGTATTGCTTATAATAAAGTTTATAAGAAATACAATTCTTATATTTAATTTTACTTTTCCAAATTTGCAAGTATAAGTTATATTTTTCACAGTGAAAATGTAAGTTTTTGTTTTTTGATGAAAGATTTAAAAATTCATTTTGCCTTTTTCTTAACTTTTTTTTTCTGATAAAGAACAATCACATGAGGTTCTCTCTTTATTATTGGTCCACAGGGAATCTTTTTGAAGTGGATAAAACATGTTGCCTCAGTAGGGGTATCAGTGACCGACACTAGATAATTTATTTTAGTGAAGGGTTAGCACAGTTGGCTGCTTAATTATTGTTTGGGCAACGTAATTTAACCATTCTTGGATGCATAGACTGTAAGGCTGCTATGATGAAAAAGACATTTGTTTGAGGATGTCCTGTCTCATCTCCTTCTATTGACTTTCTTCATTGTAGTTGACACTCCTGTACTTCTTCATAATCAGTGTGAAATAAGAGGCTGACTTCTGTTGGTAGTGTGATGGTCTTTGTCTTGGCTTAGTGACAAACATTCCAGGACTGTGGTGTTGTGCACTGTGAGCTATGTGATCTGTACAGAGTGACTGTCTGAGTATGTTAACTGATTCGCTTATGTTTATGTTTCTGTGTGAGATTGTGTGTCTGTGTGTTTTCATTTTCTATTGCATACCAAATATAGTAGTTAGAAAGTATGCCTTCTGGCCGGGCATGGTGGCTCACATCTGTAATTCCAGCACTTTGGGAGGCCAAGGTGGGTGGAGCACCTGAGGTCAGGAGTTTGAGACCAGTGTGGCCAACATGGTGAAACCCTATCTCTACTAAAAATGCAAAAAATTACCCGGGCATGGTGGTGGGTGCCTGTAATCCCAACTCCTCGGGATACTGAGGCAGAAGAATCACTTGAAGTCAGGAGGTGGAGGTTGCAGTGAGTGGATATCATGTCGTTGCACTCCAGCCTGGGCAACAAAAGTGAAACTCTGTCTCAAAAAAAGTATGCCTTCTGCATGTGACTGATTGGTTATTCCCATGTATAGAGATCTTTAATGAAAGGGTCATTAGCTCTGACCCGTGTGTTTTGGAGCAGCCATTTGACATCACGAAGCCTGTGTTTTCTCATTTCTACATTGAGAATGATTTTTGGGAACTCTCTGGGATAGCGCTCTTCATAAAGATTATTAATACAGGTGAGTGCTGTTGTTCTACAGCTGATACAGTATGATGAAGATGCCTTGAAAGTATTAATGGATTAATTATTCTTTACCTCCACATCAAATTCGACATTGGAAACCTAAAAAATTCTTCACCATAAACATCTATGTCCTCCACATACACAAGTCTCCAAAGGATGGAGACCTCCAGGTCTGAGCCACACATTCCAGTCCTCTGGTGTTTCATGGTCTCGTCACTGACTGTGTGTTCCTTCTTGTACCTACCCCCCAACACACCCAAGTAAAAATATGAGTCTATCCTGAACCTACAGATTTGAGTGAAGCTGATCCCCCAGCCAGGCACAAGGGAGAAGCTGATGCAGTCCCCGGCAGCAGCTTTCCGGAGTCAAAGTATCTTCTTCTTTACCATTTTCCTGAACTTTTACCAGGACTTCACCACCACTCCACAGTTCTCAGGCCAGCTGTTCAGTAAGCAAGCATCTGTTTTCTCCAAAGCACAGTGGTGACTCTGCCACTGAATTGTTATTATTCAGAATAACAATGCATCTCTATGAGCCTCAGTTTCCATCTCTGAAGAGAATTGTACAATGAACTTCATATGGTTTTTGTGAGGAATAAATGACATAAAACATGAAAAGTGGATCCCTAGTGCCTGACTCAGTGGAAAGGCTGCTGGGCATGCTCTGGTTTTTCCTATTTATATATTTTTTTCTATTCTTTCACCCAAGAAGCTTTTTCTCATGTCTCAATGACTCACGTCCCTCTATAATTGGAAAAGCATACAGAAGACAAACCTGTTCTTACATTTGTAAAGGACAGTTGAGCTTCACCCTAGGTCTCTGGTGGGAAACTTCTGGACTTCTCAATCCAATGCCTCCCCGAAGATGGTGGGGGAGTTCTTGAACCCTTGGGAGAAGCCGGGTCCAAGTATACTGAGTAGGGACACCTGACTCCGGATATTCCACTGAAAGGCAAACAGCTTCTGGCTCTCAGGAGCTAATGTGATGCTTAAGAAAGTATCTTTCAGTTCCAAGCAGGTGAACCAGCTGTCCTCAGCTGGCAGCAACCCCAACAATGTGTACGGATTAGGTACTATTGGATGTAAAGTCACTGTACCTTGATTAACCAAGCGCAAATCCTGTACCGGCCTGTAGTCCTTGGTCCCTGGCTTGGGAACAGGCAGGAGGGGAATGTTCCATGGAGACTGACAAGGAACTATAATTCCAAAGGTTCTTAGGCACTTGAGATGGACCTGGATACCTTCAAGAGCTTCTCTGGGGACCGGGTACTGTTTTTGCCTAACCAGCTGGGCCCCAGGCTTAACTTCTATAAGTACGGGGGCTTGGTTGACTGCCAACCCTGGATGGTTGTCTTACACCCACACTCTTGGCCACTGCTTAGCCAGAGCTTGTCTTATCTCTTGGCCCAGCTCTGTTAAGAAAAGTCTCCATTCCTCCTCTCGGGGGAACGCAAGGGTCATAATGACTCCCATTCCGGGTACCTTTAGCACAAAGAGTCATACTCTGTAAAAGAGATAGTGGCTCTCAGCTTCCTAAGGGAGTCTCTTCCCAATAAGGGCATGGGACAGCCAGGCATGTACAAAAACTGATGAATCACTTTCTGTCCTCCTACAGTTCAAGTCTGGGGCAAGCAGAAAGCTTGCTTTGCTGAAAACCCCGTGTCTCCAATTATGTCAATAGTCTTTTTGGATAAGGGGCGACCAGGGCAGTTACTACCGAATGTTCAGCACCGGTATCTACAAGAAAATCAATGTCTTTACCCCCGACTGTCATCCTCACCATAGGCTGTTTAGGGGCACTTGAGCTCGGTCCCCCTCATTCCAAGAACCCTTCTGCCAGGTTGAGCAGGGCCCCTTCCTCCTTGTCTGGGGCCTCCTGCTCTGAGTCATCTTGTTTTCCTTTTAGCTGAGGGCATTTGTTCTTGCAGTGTCCTATTTCTTTACAATGAGCACACTGGTTATGCTGCAAGCTCTGACAGACATGCTGAGTTTCTATCCCAGGGCTCCCCTTCCCTTGCCTCTTTGGGGGGATCCCTCTGATTGCTGCAGCTAACAGGTTGGCATTTCACCAGGCCTGACATTCATTCTCTTTGCGATTTTCCTTATGGCTTACTGCATCCCTGTTTACAAACACCTGGTTAGCTATTTCTAATAACTGTGATGTATTCATCCCTGCAAACCCAGCCTGTTTCTGCAGTTTTCTTCTAATGTCTTCTGCATTTTGACTAACTACAGCCATGTTAATCATGTGCTGATTTTCAGGGCTATCGGGAGCAAAGGGAGTATATATACGATAGGCCTCACACAGTCGCTCATAAAATTGTGCTGGACTTTCTTTTCCCTGAATGACCTCGGAGACCTTGTTAATGTTTGTGGCCTTCTGTGCTCCCCTTTTTAATCCTTCCAAGAGAGCTTCCCTGTATCGGTTTAGCCTTTGCATGTCCTCGCTTTCATTTGGGTCCCACTGGGTGTCAGTTCCTGGTAACTGGGTCCTTACATACTCTTGGGGTTTTGGTAATCAGCCGGTGCAAGTTCATCTAGCCACATAGTTGCTGCTTGGAGCACTCTAAGCCTTTCCTCTGTGT